TCATAGTATAGTAAGGCATAAAACGTCATAGTATAGTAAGGCATAAAACGTCATAGTATAGTAAGGCATAAAACGTCATAGTATAGTAAGGCATAAAACGTCATAGTATAGTAAGGCATAAAACGTCATAGTATAGTAAGGCATAAAACGTCATAGTATAGTAAGGCATAAAACGTCATAGTATAGTAAGGCATAAAACGTCATAGTATAGTAAGGCATAAAACGTCATAGTATAGTAAGGCATAAAACGTCATAGTATAGTAAGGCATAAAACGTCATAGTATAGTAAGGCATAAAACGTCATAGTATAGTAAGGCATAAAACGTCATAGTATAGTAAGGCATAAAACGTCATAGTATAGTAAGGCATAAAACGTCATAGTATAGTAAGGCATAAAACGTCATAGTATAGTAAGGCATAAAACGTCATAGTATAGTAAGGCATAAAACGTCATAGTATAGTAAGGCATAAAACGTCATAGTATAGTAAGGCATAAAACGTCATAGTATAGTAAGGCATAAAACGTCATAGTATAGTAAGGCATAAAACGTCATAGTATAGTAAGGCATAAAACGTCATAGTATAGTAAGGCATAAAACGTCATAGTATAGTAAGGCATGAAAATGTGAAAAAATGTCATAGTATAGTAAGGCATAAAATTTCATAATATAGTAAAGCATAAATCTTCAAAAAAAGTCATAGTATAATAAGGCATAAAAATGTCAAAAAAAACGTCATAGTATAGTAAGGCAAAAAAATGTCAAAAAAACATCATAGTATAGTAAGGCATAAAATGTCATAGTAAAGTAAGGCATGAAAATGTCAAAAAATGTCATAGTATAATAAGGCATAAAAATGTCAAAAAATGTCATAGTATAGTAAGGTATAAAAATGTCAAAAAACGTCATAGTATAGTAAGGTATAAAAATTAAAAAAAAAATGTCATAGTATAATAAGTTATAAAAATGAAAAAAACTTCATAGTATAATAAGTTATAAAAATGTCAAAAAACGTCATAGTATAGTAAGGCACAAATCGTCATAGTATAGTAAGGTATAAAAAATGTCAAAAAATGTCATAGTATAGTAAGGGAAAAAAATGTAAAAAAAACATCATAGTATAGTAGCTTGCAAACATTAGCACTGTTAGCCAATGTTTTCCTTTATAACATTGAATATTTATGATTATCCATCATTCACATTACATCATAAGTTTGTTTTTTCCACTTGGAAAGTTGAAGCTAGCGAGCTAAGCTAACTGCCTTCCCAGCCTCTCAGAGAGTGGAAGGCAGTTAGCATAGCTTGCTAAAGTTAGCACTGATTCAACACCTGCTGGGTCATCTGCTGCACATCGGATGCTGCATGGTTGAAGTTGAAGTAAAAAAAGGAAAAGACTCACAGCAAGTCATCTTCCTGTAAACCAGTGACTCATCATGACACATTCACTAAGCAATAACAAATGGGATTAAGCCAGGGCCAATGTTAGCACTCGACCTGCATTAAAGTCATTTCATTGGAACTCAAGTGATATTATGAACTATTTTAATGTTTGCCCACGCATATTATACTCAGGAAAAATACTCAAATGTAGAAATGATGTTACTCAAAAATAAATAAATTAAACTCTCTTCTTTTTGGTGATTACAGTTTTGATTAAATAAGTACGCCAAGTACTGATTTCATGGCAAAAGTGAATATTAATTTCAGATTTATTCTTAGAGAAACACTGATGACAGAAAGAAGACAGACTATCTGAGTGCAGTTCTAAGTGGAAGTAGAGCACATACCTCCACAAAGGCCAAACAATCCCACACATATCTGACGTTCAGATTATATAATTGTACAGTCACACGCCTCAACACCTTTAATATGTTTGATTTTTACATCAATATTGAGAAATTGAAGAATATAAAAAAAAATAGGCCTATCTCACAATGCTTAGGAAAGTTTAGAAAATTTCAGTAACTGCCCTTTTAACTGGATCAGCACCAAAATTTGAAGAGTTCTTCCCTGGTCCTAATTGGTGGAGGCAACAAATACTGCGATTCAGGTCTGTGTGTTTACACATACTGCACACTATATGCTCGTTTAAGTGTGTTGTTAGCTCTAGCCTTAATGAACGTGATAAAGTGATAAATGGGAGGCCAGTTGGATTTAATGGGCAGTTGGGCCAGCTGTACCAAGTCCTCCTTACTTATATCATCCGGCAAACACAGTCACATTGATCAAGTGAACAGCAGCACAATGGGTAATACCCCACTGGAACCACTTCTGTGGTTCAGTTGCCACCTTCGCTGACATAGTCGGACATGATGGATCGGCGGGACACAGGAAGCTGCGTGAGCGAATTCATTGATCTCACAAATAAGTTCATTGTTATAAAAGAAGGAAAGAGAGAGAGAGAGAGGAGAGGAGAGGCTCGACTTGGTTTCACTGTTCTGTTCTGGGCTTGGTTTTAAAAGCGGGCCGCCAAATGTAAAGCAGAATGTATCAGATGACTGTGTAGTATTTACTGATGGTAAATGTAAATGATGACATGTGTCCTTGGCTGAGAGAGAGACAGCTGCGTTTGTCATACTGTGCCAGTGCAAGGGGGTAGATGCCACTTTGTCTCTGTCGTCATGCTGCTGACTGTTGTGGTCTCCTTTTTTTAATATGTTCAATTCCTCGCAGATGTGGTGTTCACTTTTAAGGCATATTCCCTATCATGGCCATTAAACCCATGTAATGGCGCCAAGATGTTCCCAGAGACAAGAGGCGTATAAAAGAAAGAGGAATATACTCCAGAGGAACACATTAAAACCAAAAGAAAACTTTAAATATGCATTTTGAAAAAAACCAACAAAAAAAAAAAAAACCACATGCTGCGAGGAATATACAGCAACATGAAGCTGTTAAAGTTTTTAAAACTGCTTCCTCTAAAGAAACCTCAGCGCCGTAACAAATAGCTTGTGGGAACACAAAGACATGGGAAGCAGAGCCGAAAAGAAAGACGTGATCATTTAATCAGATATGTGCAAGATACACTTTGAAAGAACATAGTAGTTGGAGCAATTTTTCTGTTTTTAACAAGCCTCTCTTTTGCACAGTTGGTAATGGGGAACGTCTGGATGCATTTGCAGGGTTCCTCTCTTTTCATTGCATTCCTGCTGAGACAATTTTGCACAGCCTATAGCAAACAGACCATATATTTTTCAAACAGACAGGCTCATAAAAAGACAAAAAAAAAAGGCACCTCCTAATCCACACTTTAATGAGAGGAAACGGAAGTAATGACATCCAGGGAGTAATCTCTCTTCTTTCTGCTCTGCCAATTGACACCAATAACCTGTGGCCGGCTTAATGCCCCGGTTGTGACACACTGTGTAATAGCAAATGAAAACTTCTCCTTGGGATTTTCTCCCACAGGCAAATATTAAGAATGATGACACTTTAACAAAAGCTGGATCAGAGCGCTCAACTTTGTCATCGTGAGTGAATCCTATTACGCGGCGGCATAATGGGCGTCTGTGAAAGCAGAAAGAGAATGAGTATCACAAGGCATCTTTCTGCGCCGGAGAACAAAGCTTATTTGAAGGCGTCTCGCCATCTGAGCCGCCCCTTTGTGTCAGCATGCGAGCCTCAATTGTTTTCTCCTCGGCGAGTAAATGCCCGGCTTAATGTGGTTCTGCAGCTCGGGAGGAATGATACCTTCACTTCAGTCCAAACATGATCATGATTTACATTCATCTCAGCTGTTTTCACCAACACACAAGATTACATTTGCGCTAAATGACTCTACAGAGATCACAACTTTTCTACGGTTTTATTGTGTCATTCCACATGCGGTAAAATTACTCTCCCATGTTACAAACAACTTCTGGATCGCATTCACAGGAGCTTGGAGAACATCTTGATGGGATGAAGATGCTACTTTGGCTTCGAACAATGGGAGGCTGTTTCAGTTTATCCCCCAACCAAATACCTAGATAGCTAACAATATGAGCAATAAACACTTGAGGAATGGGCAGCTTGCCATCCCCCTGTTTGTAGCATCAAAAGACCACAGTGAATTGCTTTTTGTCATGAAGCCATTTAGAAGAACAGAGACGACACATATGACATTTGTCGTGGATTCATTCGCTTTGAGACATGCATGTAAAAACGTAAAGATTGACAGTTTCTGACAGACATCTCTGGGGTTTCACATTTCCACTAAAAAAGATTGTAAAAGGTGGAGAGGAAGAAAAAAAACAGCCAAAACCTAAAAAAAAAAAAAAAAGGTCAGAGGAAAACTGCTGAATGAAACAATGAAGCTGGTGTTTCAGAATCATCTGTATCTTATCATTGGAAAAAAAATCCCCTAAACAGAAAAACGTGGAGAGTCAGAGAGTTTTCCTTCAAAGAGCCTCCGGAGCGGCTGTTGTCTTTAAGGAGGGAGGGAGATTGCTTTCAGCAGCCGCAGCCCGGGACTGGTTCTCATCATTTTGACAATAAAAAACTCAAGGAGTTAAAACAAAGCAACGTTTCATGAAAAAAAAAAAAAAAGAAGGAGGGGGTTTGGAGATTTCCGCTGGTCTGCGCTGAACCCCCCCCCCCCCCACCTCCTCCCTCTCCCTCCTCTTCCAGTCCAATCCAACATCCAGAGAAAAGCAGAGTGGTGATTTTAAGGAGGGCTTTAGTGAAGCTTTATTTTGGGGGGGGGGGGGGGGGGGGGGTTAATTCCTCTCTGGCACCCTGGGGCTGAAGGAAGAAGGGACCAAAGGGCTTGAAATGGTTCAAAGATGAATGAGTGATTGTGCTTTAAATTCCCAGAGGTTTGTTTTTGTAGTGTCAGGATTTTATTGCAGCGTTTTGTTGCTTTTTTTTCTTTTTTTTTTTCTTAACAAGTTAAATATGAGGACACAAAGATCCGACACAGAGAGCTGAATGAAAGTGTGCCAAGTAGAAAGTGAGTTCGGTCCAGATCAGTAAAATGATCAGTAAACAATACCAAGCCGACTTTAGGCACTTACTGTTGCTTTTGTGTGAACATAAAGAGCAGGCGAGGATGTGAGAAATGACTGTTCAGAACATTTGTGTCCGTTAAAGCAAAGAAATCCAAGATACTCTGTATTAAAGAAGAGTTTTAGATGTGCAATGAGGAAAGACGGGCAGTGCATGCTTTAATCAACAAGGCTGAAAGATTATTAACTCTATTGTATTTATATATTTACACACTAATCTGTACAATTTTTACATTTTCCTACTGATAAATGCATTAGAAAAGAGTCATAAGAAAATACACCAGGGGGTGATTGTCCTGTCACACGTCGGCGCTCGAGGAGACCTGCGATAACCTGGGGTCAGAGTCGATCTCGAAGCGGTAGTGGTAGCCTTCCCACACCTCCCTGCAGGCGTCCCGCATGTCGTAGATCCGCTTCTTGATGCCCTTGCGGTTGAGATAAAGTACAAATAGGAAGATGAGGCCTATGAAGCCCAGGACGACACCCAAGAAGACGTAAGAGGTCTGCAGAGCAAGGTCTGCCCCCGCACCCATCTGGTGGCATCCCAGAGTCAAGGTGCCCACAGCGAGCAGGGATGTGTTCCTCATGCTGGCCGGGAAGGCGCACATGAGGCCGTCGGCGTTGCTGATGCGTTCCTGTGATCTGTTGAGCCACAGAGCAAAAGGTTCAATTCCACACGTGCAGGTGAACGGGTTCTCCCCCAGCAGAAGGTCAGCTGTGGGCAGGGAGTCCAGCTCTCGCAGACCTTCCTCGGGCAACGTCTTGAGGGCGTTGAGCGTGAGGTCGAGCTCCTCCAGTTGCTCCAACCCCGAGAAGGTGGAGTTGTAGATGGCCACCAGGGAGTTGTTGGAGAGCTGGAGCCGTTGCAGGCTGGTCAGGTGGGAGAAGATGCGCGAGGGCAAAAAGATGAGGCCGTTGTCGGACAGGTCCAGTCCCCGCAGGTTCCCCAGGGAGCTCCAGCGGAAGGACGTGGCCAAGTCCATCACCAACGAGTGGTTGTAGAGGGCTCGGCTCAGGTTGAGCTCCCGCAGGGACTGGTTCAGGACGGTGAAGGCCTCGGGGTGAATGACTGCCAGCTGGTTGTTGCTCAGATCCAGAGAGCGGAGGCTGCGGAGTCCGGCAAACGTGTGGGATTCCACCTCGGAAATTCTGGATTTGAGGACAGCCAAGAGAAGTCAAGAAAGTTTAAACACTTCTGCAACTGCAACTACTCAGAATATTACATACTGTCACTATGATACATCCCATAAATCAAAAGTCATATAACCAAAACCTTGACATAAGTTTACCTTCAGACCAAAAATAGTTGAGGCAAACTGTGGAGACATTATCTTAAAGCCTTGAACTGCCCATGATATGTTTGCTTTGCATGACAACAATGACAAAAAGGTGCAGGAGAGTCCAGGAGAGTCTTACCTGTTATTACTCAGGGACAAGTTGGTCACGTTATCCAGACCTCTGAAAGACTCCGGGCCGATGCGTCTGATCTGATTCCCGGTGACGAACAGATTCCGGGTGTATCCGGGGATCCCGGTCGGGATACTCCGCAGGTCTTTGGAGACGCACTTCACGGTGTGAGCCGCCTCCGAGCACTCGCAGCGCGGAGGGCACGACGCGTGAACGCAGCGGAGGAGCGCGCAGAAAACAATGCACCGCGCTAAATCCAGCATGTTGGAAAGTGTAGGAGCAGCAGCAGCAAGCGGTGAGGAAAACGAAACACACAGGAAAATCAATTTTTTTTTTTTTTTTTTTAAAAATAGGGGGTAAATGAAACGATCAGCTCCTCCGACACGTCATTATCATCCGTTGTCCCGGCCGGGAATGCTGCTGCTGCTGCTGCTGCTGCTGCTGCTGCTGCTGCTTCAACTTTGCATCCGTGCAGAAAGTGTGGCCGGGAGGCAGGCTCTGATTTCCATGAGAACAGAGGCGGAGGGGTCGTGCTGATCACAGGGGGTGCTTGATCCTTCGCCGTGGCAAAGCGGGGCGTCGCTACTTCTCTAACAATGAAGTTAAAAGGACCATCGACTATAGAGCGATGATCTGCGGGGAGGGGCTTCTCTCCCCTCTCCCTGCACCCCTCCACCCGGTCCCGATCCGCGAGCTCTTTCCTCTCGGCTTCGAGTGGAGACTGTAGTGGCTCGAGGAGGAGCAAGTGGACCGGCTCTCTCAGCTCTCACTCTCCTCATATATAAACACACCTGAGCCCCAGTTTATGATTCTGCTGCAGATCAATAAAAAAGGGGCAAGAATTCAGTGTTTTCTGCAAAAAAAAAGTTTATTATCCATGTTTTATATTATTTTATTATCATATTTCAGATTTTAAAATGTTTCCATGTAAATTGTTATTTAATGCAATGGCTGCCACAGTTTCACTACTAGTGTTTGAAGAATCTGACGTTCTAGGTCATTCCCATCCACCAGGTGGTTTGGTAAAGATGGGGAGTGGTGTTGTTGGGGGGGGGGGGGTGGCAGACTGCAGACCCTTTGATCCCCCCCCCTGTTCTTGAATACCACGATGCTCTTCGGGGATAATGGCCTCTGAGTGGGACTCGGTAGTGGAGTATCAAAGCTGTGAAGGCTTTTCCTTCCTTAATGTTTATTCTGACAGATGATAATGATTATTACAGGAATCACTTCAGAGTATGTTTATAGAGACTTGCGGAGGAGGAGGGGACTTTGCCTTTCATGGCTCACAGAGCCTTGAAATCCTAACATCATCCCTCCTGCTGACAGGCTGATGAAACACAGTCGTCATAATTCAAGGACGGAAATTCAATTTAAAAGAAAAAAAGAAAAAAATGAGAGAGAAAAAAACTCCCACAAATTTTCTACAATAATAGACATCTTTATTGGTATTATAGCTGTAAGTCATAAACACATTCAGAGTTCACACAGTCACTTGCAGGAGTCTTAAAATTCCCCAGCGGGCCATATGATCTGCAGCATAAAAGATATTTTTGGGGGGATTAGAGAAACAAAAGAGGGTTTGGAAAATTGCAGACTGGTATAAGTATTGATAGTGGCACTAATAATAGCATCCCAACTGTCTTTTGTCAACGGTCTGAATCGCCGGGACCACAGGTCTCCACATTCCTGGACCTGGCTCTTGGATACAACAAGGCACCGAAGCAGGCCACGTCGAAAACCCATTGAAATTGGTCTCCGCTGAATTTTGCATTCTCGCACATGCACGCCGATAAAAGGACCGGTGTATTATTTATCTATATCTCTCGTCCTAAAGTATACATAGGCCTATATATTTCTGTCAGAAGCGGTGAAATGACAATGTCCATCAGGTGACCCTCAAAGGGCTTTTTCATTCTCAGCTCGACGTGTGATGAATGAGCCGATTCACTGAGGAACAAGTGACGTATTCAAGGACACAGTTTGGCTCCCGGTTTTCCTGACACTTAGCTCAATCACAGAGAAACCAAAGGACGTTTTTTTACTTTTCTGTTTGTTTTCTACGAGTGAAAGTTTGGACAGAGATGTGAAACGTCACTGTAGTTTAGGCTTAACGAGAGTATTTCCAGATTTATTTTTTGAAACACGTGCTACTTTTAGTAACATCGCTCTCAAGGCTACCGGTCGGCTTACTTGTATCTCAAGTCCAAAAATAAAATTTCCCAATAACTTAAAACAGAAATATTTGAGACTCGCCACTTCTGAACACTAGTTACTAGTGACACAGCTTTAAAATATTCCCAAAACAATGTGTTTTTACATTAACTATTTCCACTTTTCAAATTGAGGTCAGGTTCTCCATTTCTTTCCTTGTTTTAATGCTTTGAGAAAATGACTCTGCAGCTTTCGTCTTCCACAATCTAAAGCTACGCACAGACGCAGGCTATTGCATCGAATCAACATTAACTCAAGCAGGCCTGTTACAGTCTAATTTATTATTCATTCTTGCAAGGTTTTACCAGCAAATCGCTTAAAAGTTGAAAGAGATTAAGATAAAGATATGGAGTAATAAATATAGAACTCAATCAGTAGGCAGGTGCCTGCAATGAAACGCAGGTGATTATTAAGCCACAGAATGAGTCGAACAGTCTTTTCTCAAACTCTCATATATTCTTGCATGCATGCAACACACACACATGCTGGCATGCAATCACATGCTCTCTCCAATCGTGAGCATCACGAAGACGCACACACACACACACACACACATACACACACACACACACAAACTCGCTGCAGAGCAGAGATGATATGCAGAAACAAAAATTACACTGTAAATTATTCAAAGAATAAATCCGTAGTGAGCGATCAAGTTTGCAAAGTATATAAAGAGCACCTGGTGTACAGTATAATGTGTGTTCAAATATTTACAGGCAACATGGGTGAAAAACGCACAAGAGGCCGGAGAACATCTGCTTCCAACTGAAGCTCAATGAGGAGAGAGCATAGTGTAGAAAACTGGCACTGTGTTAGCCCTAGCTAGCATCAAACCCTCACTACAGAGAACACACGTGATTTCGGTCGAGACGCTCACACACTATAAATGATCTACTTTGGATTATTGCAGGATGTTGGCCGGTACGTGTCAAAAGCTTTGTGACACAGCGCTGACATTTCACAGTGACCTTCGAATCTGATCTGCAGAGGTGGAAAACAGCAGGAGCGACGCTGATCAGGCGCTACAGGGTGGTGGTGGTGGTGGTGGTGGTGGTGGTGGTGGTGGGGCGGGGGTGAACTGGGGATATTCAGCAGGGGTTGGCGAGAGCGTGAAAAACCTGAGGATCCTGGCTACCTGCTGCTTCTGGCAGCACCGTGGACAAAGAAGAGGGCCCGACACTTTTTTCTGTTTGATTGCAAACAATGAGGGGATTTGAATCTACTCAACGAAAGCCATGGCAACGGATTTTCGAGTGCCAACCATCATGTGGAATTAACGTTTTTTTTTTTTTTGTTGTTTTTTTTTTTAACGCATCAAAAACAACTGAAAATATAACACATAAGGGATCTGAGAGAGAGAGAGAGAGAGAGAGAGAGAGAGAGAGAGAGGTCATTTTTAGGCACTGGCACTTGCTTCTTCCCTTAAGACTCACAATTAGTGATGAAAAACAAAAGGAGTACACCAGGTGTCATAACTCTGACATCAACGTAACTTTGGGCTGTTCCACCGAAGAGCAAGTTCCACATTCAAGGACACAGTTTGACTTGGTCTCGCGTTCTCCTACATTTGGCACGAGTACAGAAAAAACCAAAAGGAGCTTTTGCTGTTCTCTTGGTTTCTCTCTCAGGTATTTCCCACAGCCACATTCACTGAGGTTGCTACAATCATTGCTCTGATGATCTGTAGTTAAAGGTATGAAAACACCGATCGATCGTAAACCTACTGAAGTAGTACCATGAGGTGGTCACGTGTGATGCATGTAGAACAAATCTCTGAGAAAATATTTCCTTTTTTTTGTTTTTTTTTGTTGTTCTTTTTTTAGAAGACGCAGACTTTCTGATATCCTCTGGAGTTAGTCTGAATACGAGTAAGAAAATGCACAAAAATACAAACTGCTCCGGCATATTTACGGCGCAGTGCCGTAGAAGAGCTACATTAGATCAAGCATGAAATGCGATAAATTCCCTAGAAAGGCATCTAATTGATTTAACATGTTTGTGCTCCCTGGTAAAAACATGGCATCCTTGGAAGCACTGAATCATGGGATTGCGCTCCCAATCCGTTACAAAGTAAGACCATCAAAATCTGAAAAGCAAGGCAATGGATGTGTTTCCTTCACACGACGTACAGACCGACTAGAAATACGGCGTCACGCCTGCTACACTGTGCAGGTGGCGGCGGCTTAAACCTGCTGTCAGGCTTCCAGCAATCATAATCCATTAAGTGTGTTTGTATGGTCCTGGTAGTTGTTGTTGTTGTTGTTGTTGTTGTTGTGGTGGTGGTGATGGTGGGGGGTGTTCAGTCACTTCTCTCAAAATAACTGAATTTAAACTTCCAGCTTCGCCCGCTGGAGTAACGCCAGTGACGGGCCGCCTGCTCTCCGCAAACCGCGCCTGCCAGCGTTGGTACAGGTGTGTTGGACAGTCCTGCTCAACGCTCTCTGCGTGAGGCGAGAAGTCTCTTATCTCCTCGGTTACTATCGCTCGACACCGTGTGATGCCCCCGCCCCCTTTTTTTTTTTTGTTTTGTTTTTTTTTTTTTTAGTTTTGTTTTTTCCCTGTTTAAAAGGTCAAACCCCAACATCCGACCTGCAGGGGTTCCACTGTGTCCTTAACCTGCCTCCCAGGTCACCGGAGGTTGAGGGCCAGGGCCACTGTAAGGATGACGCCCATCAGCATCAGGAAAGGCAGCCACGTCTTCAGAAAGCCTGCGCAGCTGGATCAGGTGAGGAAGACAGAGGGGTGAGGAAACGTGACCAAACAAACAAACAAACAAACAAACAAACAAACAAACAAACAAACAAACAAACAAACAAACAAACAGAAGACTCATCTAATTTTTGTAAAACATCCCCCCCCTCCTCCACACGTCATCAAAAACCCTGAACTTGCTGTAACCATGACGTGTTTTCACATTACAATCCACTGGCCCCCGCTGAGACGCTGGGGAATCACACATGAAATGATTTGTACGATGCAACAGAAACTGTGCATATACGTAGTTTAACGTTAAACAAAGCTGGAAGGTTCACGGTACAGATGCTCGATTAGTTAATAACAAGGTGTGTCTACATGTCGCGCCGCTTCTCTTTGGTCTGTAAAAACCTGCGTCCGAATTCTCGTCTGAACCCGTTTGCGCATGTTGGTTTCATAACTGCAGTTTACAGGAGCATCCAACATGCACGCAACACTCTCCAGAGGCCCTCTGGGATATGTAGTCCGTTCCTGTGGCCGTAAAGAGCCTTCTACAGGAATGTCCTATATACTGGTAATACTTGGAAGAATCAGGGCTCTCTCCCTCTCCCTCTCCCTCTCCCTCTCCCTCTCCCTCTCTCTCTCTCTCTCTCTCTAGCCCCTGGGATCCCAGTGAGAAACCTCATTCACAAGCTTTAGCCCTGTTTCATATCGCTGCACTGGAGAGAGCAGCTGGAGTTTATAGGGCTGCTGCTAAAATCGGCTTTTAAAAAAGTGGACAACATTCAGATATTTTTGGACTGAGGATGAGAATGAGAGCTTAATTTGTTTTCTCACAACAAGTTCTACAACACATTTCTGGATACTTCCTGGTGTCGCTCTGTCAGGCCTGCAATCTTTACCTCTTGCTTGTTTCAGGGGCTTCAGTGCGTGAGACACCTCGTTAGCTGGACTGAGGTCATGTGACCCGATCAGGCGAAGCAAGAACATTTTACACATTTTACAGTCCAGCCATAAAAACCTCACTGGTCGACTGTTTGTGTGTTTAGTATGATTGTAAAGCTGCCACTGTCGACGAGATCAGCCTCAAACACACTTAAAAAGTTCATGCTCAACTCTCATAGTTATGTTTTTGTTTAATTTCAGTCATAACACTGGACTGGACTGGACTGGACTGGACTGGACTGGACTGGACTGGACTTGTCTGTGCTTTTGTTACTGTATGTAAAAAAATAAATCAATTTAAAGCGAGTCCTCTCTGTGATTCGGTTGAGGCAAGTCTGTTTTCATTTAATGTCTGACACACAGGCTTCGCAGTGAAAGCAGCAACAGCTTCAGTCCTCCGTCTGTGTCTACGCAGGGTGCGTTCAGGCTCAGTATTGAGTGTAGGTCAACGGGATTTTGACGGTTACTTTAGTTGCATGTGTAAAAATGGGAGAAAATAAACTCAAGGCTTTAAAATATGCCTCAGATTATGGCTACGACGTTAAAAGCCAGTGGAACATGATAAAACTATTGATAAAAATGAAAGCTTATCTGTTCTAGCAGACACACGTGACACAAACAATTAAAAAAGGTGACTGAAACCTTCATGTAGACGAGCCTGGATTCACCCAACGTCTCAGCCACCTTCACTGTAGTTGGACCATTAATGTACTGTATGTCTGTTACCCCGTGTTTACCCCTTCTTACCTGACATGCTTTCCATGGATCAGAGCGAGGAGGCAGAGGTTGACCATGTTCCATGAGGTGCTGTTTTCGTATCGCATCAGATTCAGAGCCATGGCTACATGTGAGTGACAGTTGTCACAGCAGAGGTTGTGCTTCGGAGAAAAAAGCAAGAGTACAAGTTACAACTCCGTCTGTTTGGTTTTCATAAAGCGAATAACGGACACGTAAACAAATCTACTCATTACCATCCTGTGCTTGTACTCCTCTGAAGCGTCGTGCACCGCTGTGTCCCAGGCGTTGGAGCCGCTGGCGTAGACTTTGCTAACGTCAAGCATCCAGTATCTACAGTCAAAGAGAAAAAGTAACTGCGCTGTTGTATGTTGTATATTCACTAAAAATAAATCAGTCACAACACGACATCCCAAAGATTCATTTACTTACTTTGTTGGTCTCCCAAAAGCCATGTTGTCTTCCTGCAAAAAGAGAAAATGTTTATTTCTTTCTCTCATTTCAAAACAGTTCATGTGATCAATTTACATTCCTTTGTTTTTACAACACAAATGTATGATTCAGTTTTCTGCTCAGTGCAGCCAGACGCAACCACCAGGTCCAAACTTTTTCAGTCGGATATTTTAAAAACAACCTGTTACTCACTGGTTGTGAATAACTGTAGAGCTCGTGATAAACAGTCACACGAGCTCTGACACATTTCGTGGCTCTTTGGAAACCGGAAACAGGAACATGCAATTTAGATGGTTTAGCATTAAGGATTTAGGAAATGCGCCTCACATCCTGTTTGTCTGTGTTCACCATCAACTTTGTGTGAAGAAGCCGAATGAGTCTAAATGAAGCTGTGAAGCTCCAGGTTGAAGCACCTCTATGTGGATCAATAACTGTTACTTTTTTAAAGGAGCTTTTCAAACAAAGTAGTTGGGATTTGTGCCTTAGTCATGTGTCGAATCCAAAATATTTAAGATAATTTTATAGCAGTAATTTTAAAGGATTTTTACGGGAGAAACTTAAGAACTTGTTACTGGCAGGTTGACCTGAAAATGGCTCTATAAAGCATCTCAGTGTGGGCTGTCGTTTCTTCGTCGTGGATCTCATTTGGTTCTTGCAAATCAGAGAATTACAACCACCCACCCAAATCAAATCAGATATACTGAGTGGATTTTACAGTTCTGGATTGTGATCTGTTAACACCACCCTGCAAGGCCTTGCACTGGCCAATCAAATTCATGCAAGTGCACCTTCATGGTGGGTTAATTTCTAACATGGATGTGTATTTCTGATGTTTATCTTGTGATCGCCACAACGAAAAATAAAACAGCTACCGCCATGATAACTTCGAGTCGGAAAAGTGCTTCCTGTGCAGCGTTTTAGTGTCTGTGAAGTCTTCGGTCTCATCGACTTATTACTCAAACTGTGCAGTGTGCGTCCAGTGTTTACGAGATGGATGATTCAACTATATTTGGTCGCGTTGGTTGCGAGACACAAACAAACAAAACTGAGTGTTGTGTCATATTTTGGGCAAAAAATGTGAGGGTTTGAAACAAACTGAAAAATACAAATGGAGAGTGAAGAAGTGATCTAAGCAGCAGGAGTGGTTTGAGAAACTTCTTTTGACATTTGGAAAAGTTTGTCCTGCTGTAAAACGCAGTTACCACCGCAATCTATTGTAAGCAACTGTAACTGCCATCCTCTAAGGAGCGAGTTACAAACTCTGTGGTGAGTGTTTGATACTCAAAAGCTCATCCACATGAGGTACGTTTACATGTAGACTTTTCTCCAGTTGTGGGAACATTCACGTGGTTTCCTTCTTTCTACAACTGAGGTCCCGCGTCGGTCTGTCGATCAACACATGTGCTTTTCCAAATTCATACTCCATATTCCAGTTGGTGGCCATAATGCACTACAACGTTATTTGCCTATCACTAACACTATCACTAAAAAAAAGTAGAAGAAGAGCAAAAGAAGAAGGTAAAAAGCCGAGAACGGGAGAATAGGGACAGGAGTGTGATGCCATTTGGCTGTTTTTGTATTGTTTTAAAGAGGAATCATACAGAAGGTGTGAACTGACAGTGACTTCTCATCCACCGAGTACAGCCACTGCACTGTGCTTCATTTTGCAACCAATATTTCCTCAAAAATCAACTTATGTAAAACCACAGTCATAACTCACAGAGACGAAGTAAGGCCCAGCAAAGTCCCGGATGACTCCAGTGGAAGTGCAGATTCCCATGTGACCAATGAATGGAAGCAGCCATCTGAATGGAAAAAAAACCCCAAAACATGCAGAGTTAACATTAGCACATAAAAACAAGCATTTTTGTGAATTACCACAAAAAGATGAATCACATGTAAAAAAATATTAGCGGTCACAATGTAATCTCTGGCCAAGTCGGCATCACTCTTTAACCTTATTTCAGATTCAGGTTAAGACTGAAATGAATGTGCAACATAAAAGCGTTAAAGGACAGAGGGAGTAACTCTCAATTCTCATTTACAAAACATCCTCTCGTGTGGTTTATGAATTGAAATTGGTAACGTCCAGACAACAGTTCTAACACACTCATGTTCTGCAACACATGGAGTCCAACGACCCCCCCCCCCATTTAATCAGGTCATGTAACAGGGACATTATAGAAATGCTGTCTTGATGTTGCTGTATTGGTACTGACTGACAGCGCTGCAGGAGGATAATAGATAATAGGAAGCAGGAAGCAGGAGCAACACACACACACACACACACACACACACACACACACACACACACACACACACACACACACTATAAGAACCACTGTTCTGTGATAATCTAATTAAAAAAAATAACAGTATGATTTTGGGACCCACATTTTAACTTAGCTTGTGTATATGTGTAAGTTTACAACACTTGGATTACAACAATAACAGTATCTTAGTAATGCTATGGTAAGAACATTATAACTTTGTAACACTAATAATTTACTCTTTAAACATTAAAAAGCAGAGCCTACAACTCTGAAGTGTGTAAAACCGTTTTGAGTTGTTTCTTTAGACATTTGTTGTTTACTTTGTGTTCATTTGCTTTCTGATTTTATGTCTAGTTGTGCACCGAAATACATTTGTTTTTCAAATTAAACTCATAAAACTTAAAACGTTATTAATCCGTTTTCATCACTCTGACTCTTATTAACAGCAAGGACGCTTTAATATAACGTGTTATTCGAAGGAAATCAGCAACAGGATGGTATTGTACGTGTGCTAGCTAGCTAAGCTAGTGGAGCTGTCACTTCGTCCCCTGTCCCGAGGTTTTGGTCAAAAAGCGACTCCGCACACCGGCGGCGATAACTCACGATAACACGGGGATAGGTGTCCACACAATACAGTAAGGATAGCGGCTGATGTCTGGGTTAATTTTCTCAGACGCTATGTGGTAATTCTTCATGGTGTCTTTTTCAACAACATCCGCCATCATCAGCTGTGGAAAATGAACTTCATTTGTCCCACTTGCGGCTGCGTCAAGTCGGCCACAGACACGGAACAGGATCGGGGAATGTGTGGTGTTAGCTTCAAAATAAATCGCACAAAAAGTCTTCTTTTTGGTCTTTGATTTTCAAAAAAAGCGAGAGATGTACACATTACTAACTATGTTGATACTCGGAGATATATATTTACATCTGGGGTAAATCAAAACATAACATTTGCGAAGGAGTTTTGTATGCCTAGTTGAACATAAATTTTTACTTTGACAGGCTCAACCGGAAGCCCTCTCTCTTATTCAATCTAGCTTGATACTCTCGTGTTGCTTGGCAGCAGGAGCAGCTTCCGGGGTCTGTGCGAGCCATCTATGGATATACAGCACGGTTGTTTTTGGTATAATACTTCTTTTTACTTATTAGGGCTGTAAAAATAAATTATAATAATTAAATAAATCACAAAACAAACACTTTTTGACTGAACTGCACACAAATCATGTCCATTTTAAGGCAGTGGTGAGGGGTCACAGGTCAAGATTAGCCTCCATTAAAGGGGGGTTAAACAGGCTGTGAACCACTGGTGTAGGCAACAATTTAACAATAATAACAGTATTAGTGAACCCTTAACTGCCTCTGGCCCCGCTTCAGGAGAGAAAACAATTCTGTACATTATAGGGTATGGTATACTATGGTGTACTAAGTCAAATTAAGTAGTCAAGTCAAGCATATCCATTAAGAAACTTTAGGGAACACTCAGCCAAATTCTTATAGTCCAATCTTGAATAATTTGTCAACAATAAAATGCAAGTTTTGAGTTTGAACAGTAATCTATTGTTATTATCCAGATTTAATCCTAGCACAAGTGCTTTACTGGGGTTTCTATGCGGTTTATTGCAAAAATCCTCTATTTGTTTTCGTGACAGCACAAAGAGCTCTCCGGCGCGGTGGAGGTGGAGAGACTGCAGTGCTCGAAGGAGTTATCTATGGCAATGGTGGAAATGGAAACAAAGATGAACCCAGGGGATCCGCTGGGGCTCTGTGTACTCCATACTACGTCCTATTAGATGTGACAGGTGATATATTGTGCGAAGGGCAAAAACAAACTACTCAGCAAAAGCAGGCAGACATTGATAAACGAAGGCACACTGGGCTCATGATCAGGGAGCTGAGGGAATTCTCCGGCAAATGCCACCTCGATATCTGGCTGAGCCATCCAGCCCAATTAGGCCAGAGGATGTGCTGCTTTAAGGACTGTAACTCGGTGACGTGTCATCCATTTCAGTCAAAGGTTTGAAAAGTAAAATGTCAAGTGTCTGCAAGTCTCCATGTCCAGCTCCCTAGACTGTGATTACCAAGATAAGAAATGAAGTCAGGGTGTAATTCTGCACTTTTAGAAACACATCTGAGAATGTGGATTTATCAGCAGGGTTGTGTAAAAAAAGAGTAAAGAAGTTAAAAAGTTGTATTTCTTCCTGGTTAAATAAATAAGGCCCTGATTAAAGAGAGAAAAATCACTCCCCAAACAGTCATTTTGAAGCTACACACGATTTTCCTGCACAACACCATGTCACTTAAAAAGCTCCCAGGGGTTAACTGCTTTTCATTAAAGGCAAATGAAACCTTGTGAGTGTCTGAAAAAAAAACAGACACATACAACTCTCATAATGAATCCGTCCATTGATTCAGTGTAATTTGTTGAATTGTGATATTGATTTTCTTTTCCCTTCAGCACAGAACACGAAGCTTCAAATTTTTGCATGGCCGAGGACAAGAGGGAGGTCATTACAACTTAACCCAACTAAGCTCCCTTGAGGCCCTATAGTGTGTAGAAAAAATGTGTTATTTCAGTTCATGTTTTGCTTATATGGTGCATATTTCAAAATAAAAGCATATTTTAATCAAGTAAATTACCATGCACGAGTAACATCTCAAACTTGGGGTGGTATATTATTACAGAACAGGAACAGAGCTTGGCTTCTGAGGCTCTGTGTAAAATAAAGCAGGTTTCATTATCTATAAATAGCAGGAAACATCTTCACAGCAAATGAACTATGAAACGTTTCATTAAACATCCACCTGTCGATTTTCTAAACTGCTTCTCCCGCTCACGAAGCGAAAACAATCAAATGACATTTGTGCATTACTGCATGAAGTCTGCTGTGAATCCGTCATGGCCGAGCACGGTGAAAACAAAATGAAACACTGCCCCTCTGTGGAAATCCTGGAGAGTCACTGGGCAAACGCACTCGTGGGCCGTGACAGACCTTTTGTGGTGTCAAGAGAATCCGACTGCAGCTAGACTAAGGTTTCTATTATTTCTATGGTTTTTATTCTTTACATAAGACACATTTACTCATCAATTATTCATCAAAAGTAACAACAAAATAGATACTGTTGAAAATAAAAACTAAAACTAAACAAATAGGATTGAAATTATACAACATTAAAGGAATATACAAGGAGAAAGAGCTGAGCCATTAAAATTATAATTAAATAGAAATAAGGAAGTGAGCAAGGAGCCAGCGTAAATTATATTCAGACATAAGTAAATAGTGTTTCCAGGCATTTGACCTTTTATTCTTTAATATATTCGTTAAGTAAATTAATTTTTTCAGGGGGGGATTTAGTGAATTAGCATCTATATATGCTTGTGCTTCAAGATGTTTCCCGACTGGGTTTGAAAAAAGAAGAAATCTATATTTATGGATTTGGAGCTCAGACAATCATACAAGGATTTTCATAAGTTTTGGATCCTGTCACCAGCATAAAATCGGGTGCTCTGTTGTTTCGACATATACTGTACATCTGCCAAGGTGTTGTTGCTGCTGCAAGGAATTGTGGGATGGCATTATCTCCTTTCCTTTCATAAATTAAGGTCCAGTGTATCTTAAAGAGATAAGACTGATACCATTGACCTCCTTTACTTATCATTTAGGGCATGCGACGAGCTCTTATCGTCATGGCTGCCGTTCAGATACCTCTGTGTCATTTCACAGTTAGAAACCTTCCCTAAGACAAAAAAGACATTTCAGTTGCAGGTACAAACAAACATGAGTCACTTTACAGGGGAAACAGGTTGAACAGGTTAAAGAGAGTCTTTGTACGACTTGCAGGAAACCAGTCAGTCAAAGAGAAAACAAAGCACCTTGCAACGACCTCATCCACCCAGAAACGTGACCAGATCACTGTGTCGGGGTCTGCAGGGCAAACCGACCGCTGTATAATTTAATTGAACACAACTTTAGGAATGTTTTTGTGTTTTTACATCTTATTTTATATTAGAACTTTTTTATCTCCTCACTTATCTGTGAGCATTTCTGTCTCAAAACATTTTAAGTTACTAGTTATGCGGCTGTGTATATTAATTATTACAGTTTTCCATCCTTAAATGTGTGTATAGTGCATTATTGAATGCAAATGAATGTAAACGAAAAAGTAAGAGTAAATGATTGGTGTAATTTACACACACACACACACACACACACTGCACACACTGCACCATCACACATCAGTACTCGAGACAAAGACAATAACAGATTTGATTGAGAGACTAAATGGATGAATGAATGAATATGATGGAAATAAAAAGTTAAAAGGCCTGAAATGGGAAATGGAGTTATTGAGCAAGCGAGTGCGGTTAGCAACAGGAAGTGTGTATTTGCAAAGAGATAAACAGAAAGAAAGAGGGAGGGACAGAGAGAAAACCTCAGGCTCAGAAGATCGATGTGTGTTTATCAGAGGCCGTGTGTCTATATTTAAAACTGTGAAGAGAAACAGAGTAAGTGGTGATGTGAGTGTAACCTCCCAGTTTACTGATGGTAAACTGACCATCAGGAAGGAATTCTGCTGAAAGTAAACAGTAAATTGTACAGAGAATGAATATTTTGTAGAATTACAGACGCAAAATGTTCAGTTTTACAGCCTGAACTGAACCTGGTTTCACAGATTACGCTTGTTCTAGACGTATTCTTCGTGTGTCAGACTTCTAATTTTAACAGCCTATGAGAAATCATTCACTAATCTGAGCTTTACAAATGAGTCTCATCTATTAGTTTGGACGCAACTGCAGCTTTAATTTGAGCAATTTGTCCTAATTTATCATCATACAGCTGCTACCATCAGCACTTTACATATATAAACGGGGCCAGTCTTTCACATGTGATGTGAACACACATTCATGAAGTCCTGCCTGCAAAGTAAAACTGCTGGAGCCAAAATTTAGTCCGTGTCACTGTAAGTGGACCAGAGTTTCTGCTGTCTGGTACACTGTGGACTAATTTCCTCCAGGACAGAAGAGGACTGTTGATTACTGCAAACACTTTATATGGACAGCTGGAAAACAGCTAGAATTGCTTTTTAATTGCTAGTTTCTGACGTTATTTCAGTGAAATGTGCAGATGGGGAAGATCGTATCTGAGGTGTTGCTATTTCCCTCCTCTTCCTGTCACCCTACAGACAACTGAGAACACTTTCTCTTATACAAACTACATCTATAGATGCGAGCACGTCGCTTTCACATGAATCACCCTCAAAACCAGCCGTTCCCAACCTTTTTCCCAACTCTTGAAAATCACAGATATGTTGATGGCCGGCCCCCAACCCCGTAACAATTCAGAGGCCAAATAATACGTTCTCAGAGCACTTTTTATTTTTTTACAAAAACATCTGAACAATGAGGACTGAACTGAAAGCAGGGGAAGCTCAGTTCTTCTTTGTTGTTTGATAGAGGAGACATCACTTGTTGATTCACCGCCTGTTGCTATAACCAGCTACCCCATTTTGATGCTCTAGTTTTTGCCACGGATGTAATCTTTTACACCCAATCAGACTGAGATAGCAAACAAGTATACCATGTGGTCTGGCAGCAACAACATAAAAGTTCTTATCACTGGCTTAGGCCTTCATACGAGAAAAAAGAAAATCAATTAAAGTAGTTTTTAAACACTTTTAATGCTTTTAAAGATCATTTCATTTAAAAAAAAACAACAATAAACTTAGCCTTATGTTAACCAATATAACTCTGTAACTCTTTTCACTGTACATTTTGCCAGTAATTAACTGGCAGCAGCTTTACCTGCAAAGTAATGTTTTGTTTTTAGTTGTTTTTTTTTACAGTTTCTTACTGTATTACTAGAAATAAATGTGCAGCTCTTTACTGTATTCTTGTAAATTTACAACACAATACTGGTCACAGTTTTGTCAGTAAGTTACTGTATATTTACAGTATGTGGCTGTATTTGAATCTACACTATGTACCTTGTATTTAATGGTAAATGAACTTCACTTCACTTACATCGCTCTTTTCTACAGTCATATCGAACACTCACAGCTTTACACTACAAGCCACATTCACCCATTCACTCACACATGCATACAGCGCATTTACTGCACTTCTTTATCACACTCACACTCACACTCACACTCGGGTGATGAATTTGTGGGCAGTTTGTGGTTCAGTATGTTGAAAGTGTTCACTTTACTTCCCAAAAACGTCCTCAGTCTCAAGGTTTGACATTAAAATTGACCGTCACAAAGATGGAAGAAGAGATGCTGTTAAAGTGAAGAAGCAAATATTAAACTAAACAGATTGCTCATCTGAGAATAAAGCTGATTGTTACATCATTAAAAACTCGTGTTTTTCTGACAACATGCAATAAAACACATGCATTGATATGTTTTCCTCAGTCCTCAGTACTGTAAATAAAGCGATCACAGACACTGTAAATGTCTAACCCTGCACTGTCGGAGGCTGGTACGTGCTTTCACGCTCCAGAGGTAAAACTGAAGAAATATGTGGGCAGTCTGGACAGTTTACATTCAGCAGAGCTCAGACCCCAGGGCCAGTTCTCACCAATGCTTCAGGCTAGATGGTTATGTAACAGGTAGCTCTGCTGTCTCGGAGCCGAACAACAAAGGGGATCTTTGGTGAAAATTGGATTTGATAACATACTGGGATACAAAGCCATTTTTTTAAATTTATTTTTTTATCTACTACACGGGCTGAATTTGATTCAGAACAATTTCCTGAAATAACACAAAACACTGCAAACCAAACACAAGAGACATACAGCCCTTTAAAATAAAGAAAACAAAACATGCACATACAGTACATCTTAACAATAGTTCACCGTCTCTGCCTAAAGAGTTCACTCATTAAAGTTTCCTCTCATTTGTTTGATTCATACAAAAAACTGAAGTGTTAAAACGGTTGTCATGGAGATCATGCATATCTTCACCAGGCTAGCTCTTCCCCCTGTTCCTAGTCTTTTTACTAAGCTAAGCTAAGCTAAGCTAAGCTAAGCTAAGCAGCTTCAGCCTCATATTTACTGGTGTGATGGCCCCGGGGGCCTCTGTCAGGGTTTGTTGTTTGTTGTATGTCCTGTATATTCATGTTGCACATTCCTGTTTGGGTGGAGCTTCATTTTCTATTTAGTTAATTTCTTTTGTTAACTAAATAGAAAATGAAGCTCCACCCAAACAGGAGCGTGGAGCCAAGTGGAGCCGGTTCCTTCTGCAAGTTATGTTTGGTTTAATTTTTCTTTCTGGTAAAACTCTCACGTGTTTTGCTTTATTTACACACACACACACACACACGCACACACACTTCTATGGTAATCTTCAAAATATTTACCATTAACTGACAATGGCACACTCGAAGAACCCTGTAGTTTCACGCCTCACTGTCTTTAACTTCTCAAACCTAATGCAGAGAATCTCACACCTTGATGATCAATGATATAAGATGCAGAACAGAAATAAAAGGGTTGGACATTATGCTACATGTGAGTTGAAGAGATATGTCTGTGAGAACTTTAACTGAAAAAGGAGTTAGCGTATTAAAAGCTGCTCCACAACAACAAACCCAAACTCCTGGGCGTCACAAATGTTGATCAAGGTGATTGGTAAAACAGCACTAAGGTCAATTCCTCTTCCAATGGAGACCGACAGGTTTTCAGTCCAGTCAAGGAGAATTATCCACATTTCACCAGAAAAAAGGATCTTAAAGTGAGAATAGGGCTTCTATTAACTCACTAAAATTTGCCCACAATCATAAAATATTGCCTTCTAGGTTTCTCCCCCCTGCACACTTGAATGAAAATGTAAAATCTGGAAATGATCTGAACTGATTTGGTCAAACTCCTTTCATACTCTGTCATCATAATGTCTGCTCGGCCCATGTCTGTGCACATGTCTGTGCATGTAAAAAGAAGAAGAAGAAGAAGAAGAAGGAAAAAAAAAAACCTCAATTAAAACCAACAGCAGCTCTGGAGCAGACTGTCACTGACAAGTAATGTTCCCGGAGCCCCACGCGGTCTGAATACCAGAGAGCTTTTGTCTATTTTAGGACAAATGCGCTGATTAAAGTTGTTTTAAATTCTTCACTTTGCATCCACGGAGGGATTTAGGCGACTCTTAGACGACTCCTGTGATTGGAGGACGTTTTTCGTAAAGAAATCTCAAGTTTACTGTCTGTTTAACGGTGAACACAGCAGAAAATAACTGTCTTCACCACTTAAGCCTGAACGCATCTCTTATGCATACAAATCTGACGGGATTAAGGCAACTCACGTTTGAAGTTTTCTTTCTTTTTTTATTTTTTTTATTTTTTTTTTAAAAAGACATCTTCCTCCTTCTGATCCACCCGGTGTTTCAAGTTGCAAACACAACACGTTTTCCGGTATCCCTTTTCACAATAAAACACAGCACTAGTTGGCAAGGCAAATTTATTTGTATAGCACATCATAAAATATGAATAAAAACAGAAGTAAAAAGCATAATAATAAAACATTATATAAAAACATTATAAAAACAGATTATACAGAACAACGTATAAAACTGGATTATAGGCCTAATTATTGAGGCAGGAGCATCACTTTAATGTTGCATGTGTGTGGCTATTCTTAGCCCACTGCTGAGAAGATTAATCTATAATATGCTAATACTAAAATAATTCATTAGTTGATTTTATTTCTAATGTGAATCTGCAAATTAACTGTTAATTAAGTCTGCCGAATAAATGTAGTGGGATAAAAAGTACAATACTTCCCTCTGGAGAAGTAGGCAGGTGTATGGAAATACTCAAGTAAAGTACAAGAACCTCAAAATTGAACATAAGAGCTCAAGTTTATATTTAGACTTGGAATTTGGTTTTTTTTTCATACTTTTATTTTACAAAATCAAATTTGGTTTAGTATGTTTTATCAACTCCAATCTGCATATACTTTTTCTATACGTTTATCTGTTTCATTCTTGTTAATTCTTTGTTTTTTGTTTTATTGATAGATCTGACATTATTAACGGAACGATGTAATTTTTCAATGCAAAATTAATCATTGTTTTACAATTCGTTAAAAGAATGAGGCTTTTATTTTTATGGTAAAATCATGACACTTCCGGCCTCGTTCTAACGACGTCAGCTTGATTCTGCTTTCTCACTTCAGAAGGAACGATTCAATCTGTTGAATATTTGTCTCGGCGGGCGGAGGAGGAAGAAGAAGAGGTCATCTCAACCGTGAACACGTGAGGAAACGGGCAACCACCTCAAGGTGAGACGTTCAGGTGTCCGTTTATTTGAACAGCAGCTGAATACTCTGTCAAAGTGATGGACACTAGGTAGGAGAAGTTACGCCTTTGTCTCAGGCTGTGGCAGAACTTTTCTGAAGTGCCTCGGGCTGAACCTCAGACCTTCACAGCAGCTCGACGTTAACTGTCAGCTCGGTCGTCACGACTCGGTTTGGGGGTGAAGCGAGGTCCGTTAGATGCTGGACATTGGGCACAGCAGCAGGTTCTCACAGGGGCGGGTATAGAAAAGAAAGAAAAAAAAAAGACTGGTGGCTGGGGGCTACTGTAAGGAGGGGGAAATTAATTAATCCTAATGTCTTAATGTTCATTTTAAAATGTCATCCATTACTACTACTACATCTTGTTTTACTGCATCTTCAGCTGCAGAGACTTTTTTTTGTAGTTGCATTGCATGACCATGTGTCATAGAGGGTCTATTGGTTTTATTATTTATTATTTATAATTAAATTGTTTTTATGTTTCAGGAATATTTTTTATATTATATAAGTATATGTATTTTATGTTTCAGTTATTCTTTTAATAATACATGATTGTATTATCTTTTATATTTCATGTATACTTTTTTATAATATATACTTATATTATTGTATTTTATGATTCAGGTATTATTTTTATAATCTATAATTATTTATTGTATTCCATCTTTCAGGTATAGGTAAGGTAAGCAAAGCAGTGAAATTAGGGTCGGACTCAGTGGCAGAAAAGGAGATATCCTATCATTGAATACGAGATATATTATTGAATATTGGCCCAAGTCTAACCACATTAACTATCTAACCGCAAAGCTTTACATAGAGTAAATATAAAATATATGCAAACACACCTACAAAATACATTGATATAAGTGCTTAAGCAGCTTGTATAAATACTATAACAGTATCAGTAAAGTTGTACTTTATTTATTTTATTTATTTAATCTTTATTTAATCAGGCCCCACCTGTGGCCTTCCCCACAGCCAGGTACAATCAGCCACAGCTTTACGAGCCAGAGGCGTGCTTCTAGCAGAGGGTCTGCAATCACACCATAATTAGATAATTGCCGATCCTTGCGGGCGCGCACATGCCTCTGGGAGTTTAAAACATCTAGGTCTGTGGTTCAGTGGCCTTTGGGACCCCGACCCAATCAGTTTTCCTCCTCCTTCCAAAACACACACACACATACAAAAAAAAAAATCAGGTAATCAAGATATTTTTAAAGGTAGAACCTGATGCGACGCCGACAAACAGCCACTATAAAAGTTTTAACAAAGAACCGTAGTGAACCTTTTTTTTTATCTTGAAATCCTCCCTGCAGGAACCATCCAGGAGTGCATCTGTTAACAGCTGTCGACAGTCATGGCGACCATCGTGATGGAGAGAATTGGGCGAGTGTTCATCAGCCTGCAGCAGATCCGGCAGGTTCCTCAGATGCTGACGGAGGCCGCGCCCTCCATGCCCGGCACCGTCAGAGACAGTGAGGTTCCCTCGTACTTCAGGGAGCGTTACGTCTGCACCGGCTACCGACCGCTCAACCAAAACTGGCGCTACTACCTCCTGTCCTTGTTCCAGCGCCACAATGAGACCCTCAACATCTGGACTCACCTGCTGGCGTTCTTAGTGTTTCTGGTGAAACTGCGGCAGCTCTCTGAGACTGTGGACTTTGTAAATGATCCTCATTCGTGGCCCCTGTTGATCCTCATCCTGTCCTCTTTGGCCTACACTGCATTCAGTGTGGCGGCTCACCTACTGGGTGGCAAGTCGGAGCTGTATCACTACACATTCTTCTTTCTGGACTACATTGGGGTGGCACAGTATCAGTACGGCAGCGCCATCGTTCACTTTTACTACGCCGTGGATGAGAGCTTGCACAGACACGTGCATGGCCTCTTCATGCCCGTCGCCACCGTTCTCAGCTGTCTGTCATGCCTGGGGTGCTGCTATGGCAAATACTGCAACCACAGCCTACCGACCTGGGTGCGGAAGGTGTGCCAGGTGGTGCCCTCGGCGCTCGCCTACCTGTGGGACAGCAGCCCCGTGGCGATGAGACTCTTCTCCTGGTCCACAGCCAGCGATGACCCAGCCTTCTTCTACCACTTCGGCCAGGTGGTTTTCTTTCTCAGCTGCGCCTTCTTCTTCACCTGCCCGCTGCTGGAGCGCTGCTTCCCCGGACGCTGCGACTTTGTGGGACAGAGTCATCAGGTGTTCCACATTTTTCTCGCCTGCTGCACCCTGTGTCAGATTCACGCCTCGCACCTCGACTACGTGAGCCGCAGGGAGCTGTACACGCGTCTGCACGGGAGCGGTGAGGTGGCTCTCTTTGCGGGACTCTATGCCGTCACTCTGGTTGTGTGTGTGCTGATTGGTGCCCTCATGCTGAGGAAAGTCAAACAAGTGCTTGACTGCAAAACCAAGTCCAAATAATAGATTGGATGTTGGAGGAACTGCAGTGACATGTGCCTTTCCTTCCAGACGTACTGCTTTGACAGAAAGGGAACAAATTATTTTTGCTTGTAAATGTAAATAGCTGTTTGAACGTTTCGTAACAGTAAAGTCGCAGGTTACAAGAGGGATACATACTGATGTTAGGAGTGAAGTATTTTGAAACTCATCTGTGTTAGAACTTTTGGAATAATTCACAGAATCAGCACAATCAAAACCTCACAATTTGCAAAGATTATCAAAATGTGGATATTGTTCATAAGAGTGTTACTGGTAAAAGAAAAAAAAAGATAGACGACAAGCAGTTAACATGCAGATAAAATAAATCTCTTTTTCTTTTTTCTTTTTTCCCACAGCACTGTGATGACGTATTGAACAGTATCTTGAATGTGCAAATATTTATTTTGAATATTTTGAGAGTGAGTGCCTCCTGTGTGATTTCACCCAGGATAATCGACTGTTGAAATGATTATTGAAATGATGAAAAAGTGATACAGTAATCACGAGAGCCGACACTTCTCCTATGCAGAAATCTACTTCATAAATGAAGTACAGACACTATAAAAAAAGAAATCTACTATTTTACAACACGCCGGTGGCCTTCGTCATTGTGCCTTGAAAAGCCCTGTGTTGCACATTTTATGCTAAGTTTAGCATAAAGTTGCTGCTGATTGAGTATTGCATTAAAAATGTACTGTAACGTGCTTTTCTCAGCCCCTGAGTGCCGTTAGATAACGGCTCAGTGTTGATTCTTTTTAGGATTGAAGTTTCCATCACATGATGAGATGTTTGTCGTTGCCAGTCTGAGATTTAGATGTTTTTTTAATGTTTCCGTTGTGCTAGCACGAGCTCGACTCCATAGCACGTTTATATATAATTGAATGTACTTTCTTTGGACTGTGTTTAAGAAAGCTGGATATTTTATGAGCAATGTGTAATATATAATGAAAGTCTTAACTTTTTTTTTTGACTATATCCTATTTTAGACAAGCAGTATCTATAAGTAGACTGTTTTGTGTTATGCACTGTATATTAGGATGTCAGCTATCACTGAATATCACTGTATTGTGTCTTATTGGAAATCTTGTCTGAGGCTTTTGAGTCACTAGGGAAAAGCGAGTGTGGGTGTTACATGAGTGTACTAATTAAAGATAGAGGTACCATGATGTATAATGTATGTCTTTGGGAGATAACAATGCCTACTACTGAGCAAGATGTAAAAAAACAGTGGGATTGAATTAAATAAATGTTTCTTGGAGGCAGAGAAAAATCATTTTTGTTAAACTATAATTTCAAGTGTGTAACACTGACTAACGACGTGACGTCTCATGCAAATAACAACATGCTTGTTGCCTTCATTGTCATCCTTTAAACAGAGTAGCTTGTAGCCTACCTCCAGGCTCCAACAGAGAACTGTATTTTCAATGACGGCGACGACAACAGTCATTAAGTAAAAGTTAAACCTCTCTTGCATGTATACTGTCTGATCTAATACCACTGCTCTGCCTCTGAATAATGTCTGATCACCTGACACTCCAGTTGGGAATTGACTTCTGCCTTATTGTGCCTGTTTTTTGTGTCGTTACGTTCTCTGTCTCTTGATGCACCTTTTATTTTTGTTTTTGACATTCTGTTAAACCTGTAGGATTTTCTCCGTTTTTTTTCTTGTGATTGTCAAGAAGAAAAATTAAATTAAAGTCAATGGTGTTGTCAACTGTAATTTCTCCCATATATAAGAAAAGCCTTTTTATATCATGACATTTTAAAGAGGATTTACAGTGTGTGTTGTACAAATACTTTAAAGGTGTTCATGGAAGAAGGATTGAAAAACACTAGTTTATCATTACAATCTTTTGATGGGAAACACAGCATGCCAAATGTGATGGCTGTTTCGTGATGGATATCCCTGAATGGTTTAATTGGTCTCCATAGCAACCTGTTAAACAGTGTTCCTCCTAGCAGGGGCAGGAGGAGGGCCTCAGCTGTTATTTACATACAGTAAGGATACACTTGACACTGTGATGCTGGTAATTTATGAGCTGAGACTAAACACTAGCAACAAGTGAATCTGTGCCTTTATTGTCCTGGGTCAACGTGTAAAAATACAGGCCTGTAGGTAGAGAAACTATATGCAGTGAATGAGTAAATTAAACACCTTATTTTTTTTTTTCATTCTTACTAATCAGGTGACCTCACTATCTGTGTCAAGTAGCCATTAAACAGACGGAGCAAAATAAAGGGATGTCGCGGTGGCAGCGGTTAATTCAGTCAATGTAGGAAACAGATGTTCTGTTTCATCCCTCCCTCCCTCACTGCCAGCGCCAGTAAACAAATGACGCATAGGCTACTCGCCTGGCCGGCTATACCCACATGGAGTCAGTTGTTTGTCTGCATTTGTGGAAATTGGTCTGCTAGATGTTCTCATACATGTCCTGTTTCCCAGAATTCTCTAACTTGATCTGTGGCCCAACTGTCTGCATGTGACCTTAGATTACCTTCCATCCACTGTGGTAACCTGTGAGAGTCCCTTTCCGATTTACAAGCATTAGTAGAGCACCTTAACGTGTTAGTGCAGGCTCACCTCCTCCCACTCGCCCATCAAGTAAATGCCTGAGACTCAGATGAGAATGGGATTAAAGCAATATCCACACAGGGTTCAAACTTTCTCTTTCAAAAGATTGTGAAGGTGCATTTAGCCCTCCAGGGTGATCCATGTCCAGAGCTGCAGGGAGCTGAGCCTGCAGATCAAGAGGTTAAGAATGGCTGTGGACCTCCTGCAGAGGTGGGGGGGCAAGACTCTATTCACTGTAGGGGAAACTGCTCTCAGTGCTGGGGATAAGATTGTGCCAAATGATGAATCAGCTGTTCACCAAATTGGCAATCTGTACCTTCCCTGGATCACATCCCTCCTGTCTGCTGCCTCACTCATTCCCCTGACCCGTGTGCAGATGTTTCCCGCTGCTGCTGCTGCTGCTGCTGCTGTTGCTGTTGCTGTTGCAGTTGCGGTCGTTCTGAACGGCCACACAGTGAGGTGGAATGAGAAGTCAGCCGACGTGGAGAGGAGGGAGGTGTGATATCCTTCGCTGACTGGGTGTGAATGTCGGTCAGTTGGTTTTTGGAAAGTTAAGAAATGGTCGAACGCAGTCGCCTCCTTATCCAGTGTCAAAAAGGTGGACGCTGCTCTCTGTCCCCTTGAAGATCAGCAGTTACAGTTCAAAGTTCACCAACTCTGCTTAAAACATAAATTGATTTCACCTTCTCAAGTGGATCCTGTGGTTGCGTGGGTTTGTTTTCACATCCTGGTGATCAAACAAACAAGATGTAACACGTTAGTAAATGAGCTTTAGAGCTTTAGAGAAACGAGCTCCCAGTGTAAATGCTAAGCTACGCTAACGCTCCTGGCTCCGGCTTTATATTTAACAGTCAGATATAAGAGCGGTGTTGATCTTCTGAATATATCTCAAGTATATTTTCGAAAATGTTGAATTATTCCTTTAATTATTCTCTTTTTTTTCATGCTTACTTTCCAGACGTTTGCCTGTTTTCTTTCATTCTTTCTTTTTGTAATTGCCAAATTAAACTAATGGTCATCAGCTTAAATGCCCTTCACATGAAGACATATTGGATCTTTACCATACACTGCCTTCAAAGCAACAGCAGTCCCTGTCCCAGTGCGTCTGTGTCTGTGGTACATTTGTGCTGCCCCCGTGTGTTGATGATGGGACATTTATTTGAGGTAAACGCATCAGCAGAAAGGCCTGGTTTTTTATTCCCATGGCATGAATTGTTTTTCTACTTCCTCTGGTGCAAACGTCAGAGATGATACTGTTCACCTCACTTGCAGAATGTCAGATATATCGACCCCCCCCCTCCTCCTCCTCCTCCTGGCCAGCTCTGCGGTGTGGCTCCAGTCCCACCGAGCGCTGGTGTGTGTTGGTCCATGCTGCACGGCTCAGTTACTCACTTAAAACCCTGAATCAGCTGAATTATGGCGCTGTTGGACTCTCTCCCACATTCCTCCTGTCCGACTCACAATAGAAGGGGCCAGTCTGCTTCCCTTTTGATAACTTACCAAATTAAATTTCATCCCTGCTCATTAGACTTCACGGGGGCTCGAAATACATTTAAATACGTTATAACCGGCAACAACACACAGCTGGTTTGTCAGCGTCTTGAGTTTGACGTCTTCTAAAACAAAACATGTCATAGACGCATGAATCAAGATTATTTCAAGTGACTAACTGTTGCTGGGAAGTCGAGTGGTCAGACAGAGTTAACCAGAACTGGACAGTCCCCCGACTGAATCCTCTTGGCAGCCATGTTTCACATTCAAGTATTCTTGAGCAGCTCTACACACCCTCTTATTTATTGTATTTTCCTCACAGTGAAAGGTTCTTTTAGTCGAGGGATTTCTTTTTTCAGTTGCGCAATAAGGAGTCATCAGTTGTTATTAACCAAACAACTACAAGTTCAGCGCATTTTGGTACAGAGTGAAATATATCAAATTTTTTGAAAGACATTCATTGTCCCCAAAGGATACCTCCTCTGGTGATCGCCTGACCTTTCCTTTGACATTATTGGATATTAGAAACTTATCTTGACAACTATTTGATGGCCATGACGTTTGGTAGAGATGTGCACGGTGCTCAGAGGACGAATCCCATTGACTTTTGAGATCCTTATTCAGCGAAGCATCTCATCATCTACCGGATGAACTGGCACAATATTTTCTACAGACGTTCACGGTCCCCAGACGATGTATCCTACTGACTTTTTTGTTCCCCTGACTTTTTTCCTTTAGCGCCTCCATGAGGTTGAATTCGTGATTCTTTTGTTAAATGTCTACTGTTGGATGGATTGTGATAAAACTTGGTACAAACATTCATGTTCCCCTCAGGATGAATTGTAAAAACTTTGATGAGCCCCTGACTATTCATCAGGTCAAAACTTGAATCTGTCCAATCACCAAATACTTGCCAAACTAATTCCTTTCCATCAGCCTCAGCTTTTTTTTTTTGGTGCTAATTAGCAAAATGTCTGCATGCTAACATGGCAAACATTATACGTGCTTAGCATTAGCATATTGCCATTGTAAGCATGTTTGGTTCAAACCTGTGCTGTACCCGAGAACAGCATCACATGGCTGCTATAGCGCTGGCTGTAACGAATTAACGAGGAGAATATTTCAAGAGACAGAATTAGAGCATCGCAACTATTTTTAGAAACATTCTCTTACATCTCTAAACTTTCAGATGGTAGTGGTGAAGACTTGCCGCTTCACCGTTGTGACCACACACATTACAAGGTTCACTGTGTGTGGTGCTGCTGAGTGATGTGGCTGCTGGCCTGGAACACTAAATCTTAGAGGACGAGTGAAGGCCTCCTCTGTGCAGCTGGATCCATTCTCCAGAGGTGTGTGTGTGTGTGTGCAGACTGCATGTTCAGGTTAGAGTCCTGTGGTTACAAAAGTCCTGTTGGTTGTAGTCATCGCTTTTGTCAAAATAAGCCGCGCTGCACTGTCTGATCTACACAGCTGCTATATGCAAAATATTCTTGACTTTTGGATTGAGGAACCAACCAGGGGAAAGTATGTGCCAGTTAGACCAGTAATAAAGGACTGTAAATCTTTCTAGCATCTCTACCACTTCAACACGTCTCATATCGAGCATTTCTTGTGGTCTAATTGAATAGCCGATCCAGCAGGCAATTTTTGCAGAAATGAATTTATAAATGTCTCACACTTTGTAGCTGCTATAAAACATGTTGAGACAGCAGGACAGCACATTTGTAGATATAAAAACAAATTAATTCCAGCCTGGATTTGTGAGTAAAACATCCAGTGTTGTGTCCACTGTGACAGCAGACAGACTTTGAATGGGGAGGACAGATGGAGGGGGTCGGGGAGGAGAGAGAGAGAGAGAGATACCATGGACAGCAGTATATACTGCTGATTGTTAATTATAACAGTGAAAATCACAGTTACACCCACAGGTAATGGTCTCCTGTTTAAATGTCAGACAGCAGACTTTGTGTTTAAAGGCTTGTGTGATTATAGATGCCGTGAGAAAGAGTCATGTCTCCCGTGCCGCCACTGATGATGACATGCAGAAGGATGCTATGAGGTGGTTCAACCTGGCAGCAGATAGAGGAAGCTGAAGAAAGCGTGGCACCGTCAGCATCCCCACCCAAGAAGATCAGCCTGCTGTTTCACGCTGAGAAGATGTTTTAGTATGCAGACTCCCTGCAGTTCTTGAAACAGGTTAATACATTTGAAATCCAAAAGATTTTCATTAAATAAAACTTTTTGGTACAGTTTATGGTTGCATTTAATTTAGCCAGTAACACCTATATTCCATATGTATTTACAGTCTGTTATGTCCTTTTTTAATAGAGGATTTCATCAGCAAACTGCATTTATGTTCCTCAGAGCAACAGGTTGAAATGTTCTGGTAACTCTTACACCCATAACGAAGCTGTATTAAGTTACTACAATACAAACCCAATTTCCCTACTTCTGCTGCTTCACAGTGAAAGCATTTAACTGTAGAGTCAAGTCTTCAATGAGTAATGTTTTCTTAATATTAATAAAGGCAGACCGGTTAAGTATTCAAGCTTTTACAGAGCAATCCAGGTGTTGGTCAGCTGGATTTTGAATAAGGGATCCAGAACGGGTCTGGACCGAATTAACCGACTTCATGAACGGGTCCAAATAGGATCCGGGCCGAATGAGCTGCTGCAATGAGATGTGGTCTGGATCCGTAATCCTCATCCGTGCAAGTGGACTGTTTTGTCGATCCGATCCAGGACGGATCCAGTGCGGAGTCAATTTGCTATCGGGGAGGTAAAGTAGGTAATAAAAGTTCGATCTTAGCAGAGATCGTCTATATGGGGATATAGTGGTAGAGCTTTATTGCAGATCAACTTCTGCACGTGCATGTACATGTGTGTATACATGTCTTGCTGTGGTTGTGGGGACAAATTTGGATTTGAAACCCTCAGTGTGAGTTTATTTTGGCCAGTCGTGACAGCTTCAAAAGGCTTTTTGAGGGACACCTGCAGTGAACACGCACCAAGCAGCATGCACGTTCAAAATTTCTCCAGGGATTTTCTTGTTGCTGATTATTATTTTCCTCTGGGTTCTCAAAAAAAAAAAAATTTATTTTATTATTTTATTTTATTTTATTTTGAAAGCATCGTCGCCCAACTTCCTTCCCTTTCAATCAGTAACTGTTTAGCTTGACGCGAGCGAGAGCAAGCTAGTCACAAGCAGATACACAAAGGGTGTGGAAGAAGCCGCAGCAATGGGAATCAAACTGTACTACACCACCGTTACTGCCTCGCGGACGGTGAGTCAAGTGGATCTAATTTAATACGTTTAAACGTTACGTCTCTGTTTCGGGGGCTCTAGCGGCGTTAGCTAACAATGCTAAGTCCAACAGACACACCTAGCACCCTATCAGTAATAGCTTCCTCCTGACTAACAGTGCGGTGGGCCTATGCAACTCAGCGCCCACTTATATCTGTATTGTAACGTCAGCATGACTGGGTTGTAAGCGTTGAGGAAGGTTAAAGTTATCATTGGGAAAAATTACCAAAAAACCCTAAAGGACTTGCAAAGACGAGCCCGGATGCGTTACTACACCTCATGTCTTTCATCTTGGTAGATGGAAGGTGTTTTTAATTGAGCACGTTTGGCTAGCTGTTTCTGCAGATATCCGTCTTTAAAATATGGAGTGTATTACTCATCAGAAAACAGCGACACTATCATAGTGTCATTTTGCTACATAAGGCTGGCAGGAATAGCTAGCTGTATCGACATTAATGCATCCGTTTCCTGTGCGGAAACTGCACGCCAAACTTCATGTAAAAAATATGGTAGTTTTAAGGTTTGTTTGCATATGGCAGAAATGAAGTGTAATGTAAGGGCCTTTTACAAACCATCTGTTATAAACAAGGTGTTTGTAAAAAAGTTTATCATATGCACATACATCAGATACACCAAACAAACCTTTAAAAAAAATAAATAAATCTTTTGTATGTGGCACACCTCCCATTCATCCTCTTAACAATTACTATAGATGGGTGCTAACCAGTAATTATTTCTTAAATGTTTCTGAAGTAACACCTGTCTGGTACGTTATATGTAAGCTGAATTAACCAGTACAGCCTTTAATTTGTTAAAAATCATACATATATATTCCTTCATTTATTTATCTGTTGATAAACCACAGTGATTTTTCAGTTTTTGATTTTTGTAATGGAGTTTTGCTATATTTTTCCACACAATACATTATTAGATTGGATTTACTAGAACAGGCTGACATCAGGACTGTCTGCAGGCATCAGCAAACTGATGCTGAGCGGCACAACATCCCTTGCTGAAATAACTTTTACAGCACTTTATGAAAACAGTGTATGGCGATGCACTGGACCAAACATCTGGTGTCTATTAGGTGAGGGGAATTCATGTAGTGGAAAAGTTTTGTGACTGCATTAGTTTTTAACCCCATGTGCAGCAGTGCTTCTTGGGTAGCTTGCTTTTTGCAATCAATGTATTATTAATTGTTTTAATGTGTATATCAGTTTGTATTTCATATATATCTTGCTTGTTTAGATTGTAACCTGGAGGCGTATTTCAAATTTAATTGCCCCCTTTAAAAAATATTGTGTTTGGTTTTAGTTATTATAGTTTGTGAACTGCAGAACACAGAAAACTTCCGTTTAAGGACACGACAACTGTGTGCGGCCAATTGAATGGCAGCTTGTGTGTTTCCAGTTGGTGTTGTGTTTAGGTGTGGTCACATTTACGAACACCCCCTCCCAACTTCCTCAGTTGACATAAAGATAGTGGAGTGTTCACTGGGTCTATTAATCATCACCCACAAGCCAGATAAAGCCGCAGCTTTTTAAAGCCCCAAAAAGGTTAGTCATTTAGTTTATTTCTTCAAGCTACGGGCTAAAACAGGATAGTGACCATCAGCCTTTTGCTGTAAATGTGTACCGGATTTGAAGTTGTGGTGGCAAACGTCTCTATATTCAGATAATTTGCTCAGGATTTAATAAATTGACTTCCTCTTTGTGGTGTGAATACCTTTCAAGTGGCCGCTGTTGTTCTTTTTCTCCCCCCCCTCCCAGGTGAAGTCTCAACAGGCAGAAGTGATACGAATCCTTGACAGTAAAAGCATTCAGTACGAGCTCATCGACATCTCTCTGGGCGGGGAGCTCCGTGATGAGATGAGAAGCAAAGCAGGGGACCCGACAGCAGTCCCTCCCCAGCTTTTCAATGAAGACAACTACTGTGGGGTGAGGGGGGGGGCACACACACACTCAACTCAAATGATCTAATTATAAATGGAGGAATCTCTGCCTGTCCTTTTTTTTTAGATTTTCTTGGCCACCGCTCATTCGATTGACGTTAAACTTTGCGGGTGTGTTGCAGAGGAGCTGAGGAAGTGCAGTGTTGATTGTTAAGTGTTTTTTGGATGAACGGTTGTTGAGGAACATAAAAAGAGGAACATTAAATGACAGTCAGTTTGGGATGGGGTGACGCATTCATGTAGCCGCCATCATCGATTATGACAACAGCACATCACAAAGCATGTAAGCTGCTCCCGGAGCGCTCTGTTTAAGATGCAGCGACAGCAAGACAGCACTGTTTTGTTTGCTTTTGATCCCCACCAAGCCTGATATGTTGTTATTGTTATTATTATTATTATTATTAACCAGCGAAACAAGTAATTTATCTAGCGCTGCTGTTACGTTAACCTAACACTACACCATCTAACGTTATTCGGCCGTTGTGTACTTTCTGTTTCCTTAAACTAACATTCCTGTCTGTAAATCATATCTAATATTTTCCTTGCAGATGATTTTCTTAACTGCGTATTAGTCCAGTGATTCAGTATATTACAACAGGCCTATATAAGAATGATAATGTTCAGTTTTTTATTGAATCTGTTAGAGAGGATGTTGATTTATTTTCATGGTCATTTTGGAGGCTGTTGAACTGTACAGGATTATAATGAGAGGTGTTCCTAATATTTTGTCAACTTTAATTCATATGAATAGGATGGACTATTTAATTACGAGAAACTTAAAGTTATGAGACTCCGCACTTGTCCTGTCAGAACTTTGTTTTCCTGTTTGCTGATTGACTCTCTTCCTCTCCACAGAACTATGAGATGTTTTCCGAAGCGGTGGAAGCAGATACAGTGGAACAGTTTCTGAAAATGGCGTGAGGAGGGTGAAGTGTAAATTCTCCATCTTAACCCCAGCCACCTCCCCGCCCGCCCTCTGCCCTAATGGAGGCTCTTTATTCACACTCTCTGCACCAATGGCAGTGTCTACCCACTTTCAATGCCATAACGAAGAATGCCAAATATCTCGTATTCAGCTAATCAGAAGACACACATTCCCCATACTGCACCATTAGACTCTAAATCAGTCTTAATCTGTTTTATTTTTATGTGTTTTGTTTTTTTTCTTCTGTTATTTCCTTTGATTCCTTTCAGACTCTTTTCCTGTCTGACAGACCAGTGTTACTAAGTACTCATTGTCCACTTGGAATCAATGGGGTGTCTTAATGTGCGGTAATTAGGTCGACTAATCTTGGCAGCGGCCACATGATCGCTGGAGATTAAAACTAATCCACTGGATGACAACATTCAACCCAGAATCTTCCTGATCCTCTGCAGACCAAACACACATCATCACTCAGTCTTAAATACTTTGTCGTCTTTTTCTGTAGCCTTCAAGTTCCCATGTTGTACATGACGGCACACTATCTGTACTTCACATGGATGCAAATGCACACGGAAGTAGCAAGGACCGCGATGTCCTTAAACCCAATTGATCGTGAATTATACCAGCTAAAAAATGCCTTTTTGGCACGGGACAGTTCTTTGTTATTTTTGGTCCATTGGTTACCTTATGCAGTATGTGATGAGAGGTTTGGTTCTGAAATGAGAATCCACTGTAGCCCACCGTGCTGATCTGACCTGGTTTGAGGGGCTGTAATGCTACCAAAATTCAGAAAGTGCATTTTTCGCCAGATTTTGGCCAGATAATAAAAATATAAATTACTTTAATGAAGCTAGAAACTAGCACTTGTTTAAGATACCCTGTGGAGTTTTTTTTGTTTTGTTTTTTTTTTCTGTAAAACAAATGTTAAGTTACATTTTGTGTTTCTCACAAAAATGTATAAATGTGCTGGTCTCTGCAAATGTCAGGAAGGAAACGCACAATTGCTAAAACATTTTTAAACCTATTTTGTTTACATCTCATTTGCTAGCTCTTTAAACTCACTGGTAACCCAGTTTGGACGTTACCGACCACCGACTGTCGATCTGAGTGGTGTGAAACTGGCAGCAGGAATGTGTGTATGACAGACAAAACAGGGACCTACCTATAAAAACATTGCTCTCTAGCGCCACAAGTGGTCAAACGCTCCTCAGGGTATCTTTAAGATAAGTTGTGGATGGATGTGGCTTTAAGCAATTAGTGGCGACTAGGCCTGTAGCCACCGTTTAGTACACTGATGTTGTGCCCCGTGTATTTTTTTGTACTGGGGAGAAATAACATACTACAATTGAAACTTTAATGTGGTGGGTATTTCAAAGGCTGATTCCAGTGTTTTACTACCAAACAAAAAATAATTCACTATTTCCCCCTAAAATTGTATCGAGTGTGGAGAAACTTAAAATTTACAGGAAATCTAGTGGACAATAATTAAAATTCGAAAAATACAAATAATTCAACTATTTTGCAAACTTTGCTTTTGCTGTCTGGTCAAACCTTTCTGAGGGGTAGGGTTTCAGGGAAGGATTTGAACTCTATTTCTAAGATCATGTTTACATCCCTGTAGGATTTGTGGACCAAACGCTCCCTTTAGATATGTTATAATGGTCTCCAGTGAACCAAACGTACTCAAAAGTTGGTGTACTCTTGAACAAATAAGTGGTTAAACATTTCAAGTAGTTGGCTGCTTAATTCTAGCATCCAGTTAGGCAGGATGAACAGCGTCTTCTTAACATCACATTTGGTGCCAATGTATCTGCAATGCGCTTTTGGGAGGTGGTTGTTCACTGTTGTATTAGCACTTACCTGACATCTCCTACGTTTTCCGTAATTTTACTGTATAACTTGAAAGCTTCACCAATGGGTGTTTCTGCATTGCTGACTGACTGGGGCAAAAGGACGCCAAACATTTATAAGGGAGCATTTCGTAGGGAGAGTAAACGATTGGACCGAAAAGATGTGAATCTTCTTCCTTTCAACCACGTAGCTTTTCCTTCCTCTGTTTATTTTATGTAAGTTTCACTGATTGTACTGGGCATGAAGATGCAGTAATGTGACTATGCACTGAAACCCTGCCTCATTCTGAACAGACATAAAGGTCATAGCTGGTGTGTTTAGATTGACCGGACTCAGTCTTACTAGCCTTAGGGAACAATCACCACATGGGAAAAATGAAGGCTTCACTTATTTGTGCTTTTTATGTATTTGCATCATACGTTTGATTAATCTCAGTTGAAATGTTTTTTGTATCGCTTTCATGTCTTTTTTTTTTATTTTTATTGAGAACAACATGGTTTGCTTCTATTACTCGTAACATCTGTCAAACCCCCATGCTTTCATAATTGTGTTGTTACGGTTTGGGATCCAGAGGAATGACAGCCTTCACACACAATGTTTGTGCACTGTTTTGTAAGTCGGTGGTTGTAGATGTTTGCCTGTTATTGATGTATATTCACTATGAACCATGTTTTAGACATTCCACGTCTCTCTCTGAGCTCCTGCTTTGCTTTTGGACCAATTCCCCTTGGCCAAAAAAAGAAGAAATTAGGGAATAAAATGCTGTTGTCTTCCAAGAAGATTGTGAAAAGTGATTTATGGGTTAAAAAAATAAAATGGAGTTGAATCTAACTGTCTGGATATTTTTTTTTATTTGTCAGCGGAACCTAACTTAAACTTTTAATGAGTCATTTTAATGAGGAACTTTACAAGATAGTGTGGGAATGTTTGTTCACACACAAGAGACTCATTTCTAATTTGCCTTTCAGTGTAATATTATTTTTGCCAGTACAGTCACATGAATAACATCTTCCATGCCAAATCAGTAGTGTCATTACATTTGTAGCAATTGCATGGGACACATATTCTCTCAGAACTATGATAAAAAGACTTCATTATCAGTATGTTCTGTATAACAATGAAATAGGACATCATCTAGTTTGTCGGTATAAATTTAAATGCGTTTTTGCGCAATTGGCTAATATAAGGTTATTCATATAATAAAGTTATTATAATGATGATTCATCAGTAAGTAGGAAATTATAGTTCATTTTATAATGAAGAATATTACACTCTGAATTAAAAAAATACAATATAAAGTAGATTCAAATGCATTATTTATTTAGTTAAATTTGCTCTGTTGTAGTACATAATTTCTCCTTTAGGCGGGGATGTAGCGCGTTTGACTTTTTACTTTGCAGCAGAAGAAAAAGACGAGCGGAAGCATGAAATGATGGCCCTGGTTTCAAAATAAAAGCCTAAAACAAAGTTGCCGATTATCATCTGTATCTGTGGGAATGTGCTGTTGTTGAGAATTGTTTTATTTTGAAAATGGTCACCGGAAGTTTTGCTGTTGATTCGGTGTTGCCAAACACTGGTCCAAAGAAGGAAGCTGCGAAATTTGACAGAAAACTGCAAAGGTAACGTGAGTAAACGTTATGTATTTAATGCGTTGGTGTCAAAGACAATTAATTTGTCTAAAGCTGACGTTTGCGTTAATAACCTGTTTATTCCGGTCAGCGTTGTTACCGTGTTACTACCAGGGGCAGTAAATTCATTGGTTAGTTAGCTAAACTAAGCTAGCTGACACAAGTGTTTTGAGATACCAATATAGCTTAACGTAAACCATTTCTTTTGATATAACATTAGCTTAACACAAGGTAATGAACTGAGGGCCTGTGTTTCGCTACATACATCGTTTTCGTCACATCTGACCATCATAAAAATCTTGCCAGTTGCCACTTTTAGCTGCCACTGTTTGGTGTTTATATTTAGCTAAGACTGCAGCGTGTGCAGCTTTGAAGTAACAGTTTCATTTAGTTAGAAACACACCGCTTTTGGACTGTTGAGTAGTCACGCGGGTCCAGTTCTCCATCCTGTGAATATCTCTCTAACTCTTAGCTGCACTTTTTCATTCAAACGTCGGAAGTTATTTTGGAGCACACTTCATTTACACAAACACAGCAGCTGTTTGGGTGTAGTGTGTTCCTATGCATGTATGTATGTATATGTGTGTGTGTGTGTGTGTGTGTGTGTGTGTGTATGTGTGTACCTGTACTGGGTAGAACTCCTTTTGGTTCGTCATTATAGAAGATATTAAGTTAGTATAATTGCATCTATACATCCTTGTTATTCTATTAAATATATGAATTAAGTTGCATCCGAAGTGCAAAACAAAATAAACAAACAAAAGATATTTTATCATCTACCAGAATATAGTCTGTGGTGCTCACAACATTGAAAAAAAATATATACAGTATATGTAAAAAATTAAACGGCAGCATCTATTTCTAGAAGTTATTTTGGATCATTAGTGCTGTGAGTAGTTTTCATTGCAACTACTGAAAAAATATAAAAATAGTCAAATAATAAGGTGCAGATACATGGAAGTTAGTGCGTGGCAACTGATGAAATAAAAATGAATACACTCAGCTCTGTTACATTTATTTGTTTTTCTGTCCCGTGAAGCCACATGTGAAGATGAGCGTCCCAGACTACATGCAAAGTGCGGAGGACCACCAGACAGTGCTTGTGGTGGTCCAGCCCGTCGGCATAGTGCCCGAGGACCAGTTCTTCAAGATCTACAAACGAATTGCCAGTGTGAGCCAGGTGAGCATCAGGGACTCCCAGCGCCTCCTCTACATCCGCTACCGCCACCACTACCTGCCTGAGAACAACGAATGGGGTGATTTCCAGACGCACCGCAAGGTGGTGGGCCTCATCTCCATCACCACCTGCGCCTCGGCTAAAGAGTGGCCTCAGACCGCTGAGCGCTTCCACGGCCAGAAGGAAGTGTACAGCTCCACGCTGTATGATTCGCGGTTGCTGGCGTTTGGGCTGCAGGGAGAGATTGCAGAGCAGCAGCGCACAGATGTGGCCTTCTACCCCAGCTTTGAAGACTGCTCCGATGTGGAGAAGAGAGTGGAAGACTTTGTGGAGTCGATATTTATTGTTCTGGAGTCCAAGCGGCTCGACCGGGCTACAGATAAGTCTGGTGACAAGATCCCTCTGCTGTGCGTGCCCTTTGAGAAGAAGGACTTTGTGGGTTTGGACACAGATAGCAGGTGAGTTGTTCTCTTCTCTGCACACTAACCCCTTTTATAAAAGCAGTTTAGTATGTAGAGGCTGGTCAGGGAATGCCTGAATGTTCATTTCAGTTTGTAAATGTGATACTCTGTATTATTATTTTTAATGTGTGTTTGTTCCTGTGTCAAGTTGCTTGTTATATGTCGGCCTCACCAGCTCAAAAAAACTTCTCCTCCCAAAAATCTGTCTTTTGATTTTTGCTGCGTTCATTTTCGTTTGTTTACCTTGGTTTATTTGTCTTTCTTCTTTTTTTCTTTCATACTGTCCTGTGAGTTTATTGTTGGGTGTGAAAAGGTGAGATGTTAGATTCATAAGTTTAGTTAACCCATACCAACCCCATAAGCTTTAGCTCTGCCCTGTCAGAAACAGCCATGCCTTTGTGCTGTTGTGCATTTGCTCGTGACTCCAAGCCAAACTCATCGCTCCTCCACAGGTTTCAGTTCATTCACAGAAAAAAACCTGACACTGAAAGCAAAGTAGTCTAGTCCACAGCAGTAACACTAGCAACTAAAATAAAAAAAGAAATTATTGCATATAAGTTAATGTGTCATATCATAAGGGGTATTTTTAAGGGTGTAGATGAGGCCTGGTTTGCAGGACTACATTACAGTTTATTGCAGTAGTTGCACTCATATGTTGTGTCCGCGATCGTGTGTTTGACACTGTTACAGTTAAGAAAGCTCCAGAGTTATATTCACAGGCCCAGCAACCACTCTTTCCAGTCTTGGCTAGTAGTTTCCATTCTTACACATTTACATGGTGAAGTCAGAAGGCAGTTAAAGGACCATACCCGTGTTTTTCCGTGCTTTTGCTCATTTACAACAAATCATGTATAATCTTACTACAACCAAGCCCATCTTTGTATCCTGCAGGCAGCCACTGGTTTCAGAATCTATCTAGGTATCTAAGCAGTTGTGTGCGACTGTCTCTCTGTCTGTCTGTTTAACCGTCCATTCACGTTGTTTAAAGTTACTCTACCACTGTGATACAGCTGATAGGACACACTGTTTTGTGTTAACGGTCTGTGCCTGTGAAATGCCGACGGAGGCCTCAGTATTTGAAACTTAAGAGAACAGCCCGTCAGCTACCTGGCTATAACAAGAAGAGGCAGAGATCACATTACTGTTGACACGGTGGCCATATTTACAGGAGAGGCTCTGAGGCTCTTTTCCGATTCTTGTGACATCACAAAGTTCCAGAAGTCCTGACGGCTGGTTTTAAGGCTCAGTTTCTGAATACAGGCTGTGTGCATTTCTCTGTGGACTGAGGCTTTGATACTTTCACAGTATTAATATAGAACCTAGACCTGCTTTATAATCAAACCTACCTTTATACTATATGGGACCTATAATAGTAATTGAATGCTATTTATTTTGTGCTATAATTAGCATCAAATTACATAGTTCTTTGCAGGAAACGTCATGGAAGTTACATGAAGCTCTAAACTAACTCTAAACTTTTTTTCTTAATTGTTTTGCAATTCAATTTTTATACATTACAAAATTACCTGAAACAAGTGGCCACCTTCACCATTCAAAAAAACACACCACACCACACGCCTTGGAAAATGCTTCATCTTAATGTTAAACACTATTTGTGATTTAAATGGGGTAAAAAAAAAAAAAAAAAAGGTCATGTGGTAAAAACGTAATTTGCTGAAACACAGAAAAACGCTGGTATAGTCTTTTTAAAGGAGGAGCTGATAGTTTGGACTCACTGTACACAGTTTGGCACGGTACCTGCTGCTGAGGTTTGTCCCTGCTTCAGGAGACTGGGTTTGGGAAGGCGCAGTTTGGGATTCACGAGAGCAAACATTATGTTATTCTAACTTGGAATAGCTCTGAAACACCCGCGTCCAAAGATCCAGTTTAATTCCTGCGGTTAATTTCTTCATGAATCCCTTCAGATCAACCTTTTTGTTTTTTTAGATTTTGTTCAAACAGAACGATTTTAATCTGCCAGATGTATGATATAGATTTACTAGCATAGATGTTTCTGTAGATTTTCATATCCCTGCCTGTAGATTATACAGCAAAGGGAATTTTGTCCATGGCTGTATTTTACCTTGACTCTGCGATCACCTACTGTTCCACGTTGTTTTCTTCACACGACCTTCCCAGTCCCGTTGGAGAGCTCAGATGTCTTGCACAATAGGATCATATTTTCCCTCAAAACAGTTACATTTCCCTGTGCCCCTGTGAAGCTGCTCCTTCCTGAGTACCTGTGTTATTGTGCAAGACTAAAGGGTCGTAGGTCGGCTCATCCTTGTTTTGTTGCTCTCCTTTTGCTTGTGCTTTCCCACCCCATACATCCCCTCTGTAGCTCACTGATAAGATCCACTTGAGTCTCCCCTCCTGGCCCCCTGCTGAGAGAGCTGTTTTTATAAGCAGGAATATGAAAAAAAAAACAAAAAAAACATAGTGAACAAAAATCTATTTAATAGCCAAAGTCATGTTTGTTATTAAAGAATCCGAGCCTCTTTATTCATCCTGCTGTTGTCTGAAAAAGTTTCTGTCTCTCTCCCTGCTGCTTTTCCTCAGGCATTATAAGAAGCGTTGCCAGGGACGGATGAGGAAGCATGTTGGGGACTTGTGTCTCCAGGCAGGCATGCTGCAGGACGCCCTGGTCCACTACCACATGGCTGTGGAGCTGCTCAGAGGGGTTAATGACTTCCTCTGGCTGGGTGGTAAGTCTCAAAGATGGCAGCTTATTACTGCAAGGCCAGAGTCTGTATTTGTTTGCTGATGTTTAATATTGTATTATGTTCTATGGGGCCACGTAGCCGTAATATTAGCTGATGTCGCCTTGATTTGTATCAGCTAGCGTCTGGCCAACGCTGCATTTCTCCAACCAATACCAATATTGACATTTGAGAGTTTTTTCTTTTCTTTTTTTTTTTTTAAACACAAACACACACACAACACAGAAGGATGTTTACTGAGCAGGAGATTGTACTGTTGAAACATAAACTTGTAGTATATGATTATATATATATATATATATATATTATTGATCACCTCAATCCTGTAGTATCTTGCACAAGGTTGGGGCGCCTGTCATTCCCCTTCTCTCTGTCCCATTTCCTGTCACTCTACACGGTCCTATCTAATAAAAGCATAAAGGCCAAAAAACAACCAAACATATCTTGCACGGTTCCTGCTGATCCTTTTAAAAGTTGAAAAGGCATTGAATTCATTAATCTACAAATAAGGCCTTAATTGGTATTAAAATGTCTTGCATCAGTCTTTCTTAAAAAACGTCTTAAAAACGCAAAGACGTGGGATTTTAGGAATCATTTTATCCAGACATTACTATTTAAAACCTCAAAATAATTGATAACATCTATTTTTTTTTTTAATAATTTACTGAATACCTCTTTCATTTGATTTCAGTTCTACAGTCTCTTGTGATTTATTATCCGACTCATATTGTGATAACGATGTTGTACGAGCTGTTGTTTCTGGATTTATGAATTTCCTGTGTTTTGCATCTGCATTTTCCATCTCACGGTCAGTCTTCTGTTTGCTCTTATCCCTACTGACATGTAATGAAAATAATAACTTTATTTATAAAGCACTTTTAAAAGCAAAGGTAATATCAGGCATGAGGCTCAGGAGGCAATATAACAACAATGCAACAACAATCTTAACAACAGAAAGCACGACGGAAATGAGGTTAAAGGTTAAAGAGAGAAGACACACTCACTGTTTTTTAGATGACAAAAGTAGAAGCAAACGGTGAACCGTGCAAACATCTGGATCGTAGAAACTTCATAAACTCTTGCGAGATCTAAGGAACAAAAATGGGAAGGAAAGAATTGAGTAGAGATAAAAAAAAATAAGTATTTTTATTACTGCTGTGTTTTTGTCTGCAGCTGCGTTGGAGGGGTTGTGTTCAGCGTCTGTTATATTCCACTACCCCGGAGGCACAGCAGGGAAGGCGGCGGGACGCAAGCCAAGTATCTCCCAGCCGGCAGACGCAGGGAAACGCCACAGACCAGGTGAGCGCATCACTCTGTGTACTGTAGGGCTGTTGTCTGCGAGTGAGTTGTGACTGAGTGGGAATGTCACGGCTGACTGTCGACCCAAACATCGCCGAACTTTGCTCAGCTAAGCTGCTTCCTGTTTGTGTGCAGAGTACAAGACGTCAGCTTCCTAAACTGCTGAAGCTTCTCTTATTTACCCTGATGACTGCTAATTGAATTAAAATTTAACATTGTTAAATCTGTCTACCCCCGATATTAACATTCGTTTAACATGGTGTCATATTAACACTGCTTTGTGTATATCTTCGCTTTATCAGTGTCATCGTATGCATGTCTGAATATATATATAACGATAAGGTGCTTTTATCATTTCTGATTCTGAGGCCTGAATAATTGAGGGTTGCAACTAATGGCTTTTTAAAATTTGATTCTAAAATTTGATTAATTTCGAGTTTATTATTTTTTAATCATTTAATCATTTTAATTTGAAATGCCATGAAATATTTCGATTTTAGAAAAACCTAAACCACCATATGTTTGGTATTTTTAGTTGATAAATTATGATTATTTTAATGTATTCATTAATTCATTTATTAATTATATATTCATTAAATTTTTTTTTTTTCCATTTTTTATTTTTATAGTTTTTCCACCATTTTCCAACTGTTTAAATTTGTTTTGGCGAGCTAAATTGCACGCTAAGAGCTTATCACTGCTTAGTGTATTTGATGAGTGTATTTTATAGGCGGGCAGCGGCAGCAGCCATTACGCAGACTAACACTGCTAACACTGCGCCTTGCGTCATGGAGTGAATCTGCATTCTTTCTCTCTGTCTGTAGGGGCTCAGGAGGTTCTCATTGACCCAGGTATGGTATCTCTAACTACCATAGCTCTCGTAGACAACAACCCTCCCGTTTGCTTGTGGTCGCATTAGCCCTGTCGTTTGGTGTCGCTTTTCATCCTGCATCATCACAGTGTTTATTCCTGTGCTTTATTTTGAAAATCACCTGATGTTTTATTCCCCCCCCCCCTCTTCTATGACAGGTAGCGTTCTCCTGTGTTGATTTACCGTCACCATTTTTATTTTTCCCTAATGTACCTGCTTTTTCTCACAGCCACATTTTTTGATCAGTATCACCCCGACCACACGACTGAAGACCAAGCCTTTTAATGGCCTCTCTCTCTCACTCGCTTCCATTCTTTTATTTATTAAGCCCCCATTATCCCAACAACTCACATCTTCCTTTTGATTGAACATCATTTAACCCTTTCAAAAATATTTTGAATATGTTTCTACCTCTTTGAAGTCAAGTTTACATATCTCTGCAGAAGTACCAGCAGGTGGCATCCATTACCAGTGGTGCATACTTTGATTTCCCACTTGATGAATGCTCACTGTTGCATAAATAAATCACACAGTTCATTTATATTCTATCACTTCATCGTCTCAACAATTGTGCTTCTTCTACTACTGTGCAGACATTGTGCGAATATTGTTTTCTTTTTCCTCATGTTGTATATGCGATTTGGCCAAGAAATAGTGCAGCACAGCATCTCATTATTCACACGTTTGTCATAGTGACAGCGCCACAGTGTTGCTGGGCACAGCCCTGTTGCTAGGTGACGCACTCTCAATTGGTATTTGTATTCTAATCAGATTTGGCCAAGAGATGCACCTTGCAATTTGGTTTTAAAACATTTCTGGTGCGAGTCTGACTCTGCCCGGGACACAGCTGTGAATCATTGTTTTGATCACATGTCAGAATATTCATGACATCACTTATTACTGCTGTAAGGGATAGTGGTGGCAAATTAGGAATAAGCACATATTTTACATAGTTTACTTCAACAGTAGCCGTTGTTATCTGCTCAGATACATGTACAATTCTTGTTTTCTGTGATGACGGTATGTCTGCGTCTTATTTAATATATGTATCACTATGCATGTGGCGGTGGTAGCCAGGGAGACGTCTCTAGAGTATTTAAGGTTCCCCTTCTTCCTGTTGTCACGGTTGTCATTTCCTTTCCCTTTGTTGTGAACCAGACTGATGGACGGTCGTCCTGGCGTCTTTCCTTAACTAATCATATACCATCATCTTTTGAGTGTAGGTGCCCTCACAGCCAACGGCATCAGTGCAGACACCAGCACTGAGATCGGACGAGCGAAGAACTGCCTGAGTCCCGAGGACATTATCGAGAAATACAAAGAGGCCATCTCCTACTATGGAAAGGTACTGACCGCAAACTGCAGAACCGTTAAATCAAGATTTCAACCAGTATAACTGTTGGATTAAATATATAAATATATGATGTCTGTATGATGTTGTCGAAGTTTTTATTCAGATTTTTAAATACAAAAGGAATTTTCGAAACAGCGCTCAGTCCTTGAAATAATTTAAACTCAAATATAAAAGTAATGCATTTATTCCTAATGTCAATCCAAAATTTCCAGCTGGAACCCTGTTTTAAATAAAGGTTTACATGTGCATGCACAATCACATTTACAATAATAAACTGTAGTATATCCATCCGATCCAACACTTACTAGCAGATGATAAAATGTAATAAAAGGCCAGTATTGGCTCAGTAGTCAGTATTTTATTATTAAGGTCACTGAATTCTGCAGTAAGTAATGTAGATTTATGTAAACGTTATCAAGGCCAGACATGAAAAGTGTCAAAAAAATGAACAGAACTTTAAATAATCAGTTATTTTTAATTGGTTAATCCATCCATTTTATGCCACCTACACAGGTCTGTGTCCCTTTCATTTAATTAATGATATAACTTGGAACTATAGTTATATATTGCTGGGAAGTACTGAAAAAATTATATGATAACAAACTATTCTAGACCGTATCATCCCTCCTGAGATACTGTCATGCTGCTTTGATTGTGAAACAGGTATTAAATTACAGGGTCAGTTTTTAACTATACTATCTTATTTAAATGATTATAAATAGTATAAATATATATGATGAACACGCCACAGTAACTGACCATCCAGAGCTTTAAAAGTGATCACAACAATCTTAAATTGGATTCTGCCAGTCTTTAGACAGGGTCATATATGACGGTGTTTTATGTTGATGTTGCTTTAACACAAAATTATCACTTGTAGGCACAAATGTAGCTTCATGTCCATGTTGTAATATTTCTTCCTCTCACCAGGGGGCAGTATTTAATTTGGTTTTGATGGCGTTTGAAGGCAGTGACAGTGTTTGAGCAGAATCAGACTAGTACATCCTCACAGCAGCTGTTTTTTTTAATTTTTTTTATTACTGAACACTTCACGCGGACAAGTCCTACGTGTAATCTCTCGAAAATGAATCCGTATCAGCCGGTGACGATAACCTGTTAGAAAGCAGACAAATCAGTAAGTGCTATGTATCCGTTCCTGGAGTGATCGCGCTCTCTTTTGACTACTGTACTCGCACAAAGTCACTAAGAATAGCGTTAAAGTATCCTTATTGCTTAGGGAAAGCTGAATGGGCTCATTATACCACTGGACTATTCAGAAGCAATCCTGTGCTTTATCTTCATTATTATAATTGCCTTTTTGCACTGACCTCCCTCAGCCCTTTTACCTGTAACTAGTTCATTCAGAATTAAATTACATCTCAACACATAGCCATTCAGATGTTAATTGAATTTTAATAAGGAGACAATGAGAGTGAAAGTGGAAGGAAGTTGAGGGATGGAGAGATTTAAAAAAAAAAAAAAAAAAAGCAGGGTGTGAAGCTTCAGCAGCAGTCGCTCAGGGTTTCAGCAGAAAGCAAAAAAAAAAAAAAAACCAAAACAAAAACGGAGCAGCAGCTGGGAATCCCTGAGAGAGAAACGAGCGACGGGGGATCAGAGTTATCACGCTTGTCTGTCATCCCAATATCTGCGGTGACTGATGAGGGTGGTCATATGTTAATGAAAGAACACTCCCTCTGATAATAAGGTGGGTTGTAGAAGTCACGGCGCACCTCATTGACTAATTATCTCTCTCCTCCTCCCTCCCTCCCTCCCTCCCTCCCTCCCTCCCCCTCCCTCCCCCCCTCGCTCCTCCTGTTATCTCCCGCAGTATAAGAATGCAGGCGTGATCGAGCTGGAGGCCTGTGTGAAAGCGGTCAGGGTCCTCGCCATTCAGAAGAGGGCCAGGGAGGCCTCCGAGTTCCTGCAGAACGCTGTTTACATCAACCTGGGACAGGTACGCTCTCCGACTGGGAAACCAAAGCTTGTTTCCAGATACACGGGGTGAGTCAGGGTGACTGCAGGGTATCTTCCTATTAGCGGAGAGGGAACACTGAAACAGAACTCACCTCACCCTCAGCGTATTACCTTTTTGTCCAAGCTCCAAGCCCCTCTCTCTCCTCTCACATGAGAGTTTTGCCCTTTAAGAGCTTTAAGTCTTGCTTCTTTATGTGACCTATGCAGCCAATTGAGTTTCCTCCAGGCTTTGCTCTTCATGTGCAGTAGTTAAGCCTCTTTTTCTCCGATTTCAAATCTCAATATACAGAGGCAAGAAAAAGTAAGCGAACCCTTTGGAATAACCTCCGTTTATGTATAAATTTGCCCTAAAATATGGTCAATCTTCATCCAAGTTACAATCATTGAACAAACACAATCTATCCTCATGGAAAAAAATCCAGAATCTATTAAACTTTGCTTATTTATACAAAAGTTTAAGTGCTGGACACAAGATGTCTCCTACTTCACTGAAAAGTCCGTTGTCACTGATGTGCACTGGAGGTTTCGAGTCTCCGCGTCACGCTTGTGCACAAGGTTCAGTGTCCGAACCGGGGATGTCACAAAATCATCGGGTACAAACACAGAGACACTTTCCTGCTTCAGCAGCTGAATGTGAAAACAACCTCCTAGTGTCAGACTCTGCACATACATCATTCTGCACAGTAGAGTGCGAACGTCCAAGTCAAGTAACGATAAGAAACGTACAGCTTTCTGGTGGCTGGAGGAGGGAACTTTTAATGCTGTTTCCGTAACTGCAGCTGTCAGAGGAGGAGAAGATCCAGCGCTACAGCATCCTGTCCGAGCTCTACGAGCTGATCGGCTTCCACCGCAAGTCGGCGTTTTTCAAGCGTGTGGCGGCGATGCAGTGTGTGGCCCCCACCATCCCTGAGCCCGGCTGGAGGGCCTGCTACAAGCTGCTGCTGGAGACGTTACCTGGCTACAGCCTGTCTCTGGATCCCAAGGACTTCAGCAAAGGTAGAAATAAAAAGTTCATTTAACTTCAACTTCTTTTCGCACTTTCACACGCGAACGTTTTGGGCATCGCATGAGAATGAGGTTCTCTGGTTTCTTTTTGTGCACACACATCATCTCCAAACTATTCCCAGTCATGTTGAATAGTGTGTTTCAGGGCTGCAACTAAGAATGATTTTCATTATTGGTTATGTTCGTATTGATTGATTGTTCTCTAAGCTAAGCTATTCACATTTGAGAAGCTGGAACCGGAGAATATTTGATTATCAGAGTTTTTGCAGGTACATTTTCCAACCAACTAAGTAATGAATCAACTAATAGTTTCATCTCTAGAGTGTTTCCCCCCGGGCAGCTAAAGTTGAACAAATGTGACCAGCTGAGAGAAGAGAAACTACATCACTTTTACCAGATTATGACGTTTATTGTGGAGCAGCTGAAGATCAGCTTTTGCTATTATCAGAATCAAAAGTGAACACGGGCGTAAAACATTTACATAATGTGTGTTTCCGACCAGCAGGTGTGTCATTCTGGCTGTATAATGCGTCCAATGGAGTGGTTGTATATTTCCAAAGTGACATTTACACACATATAAATGGAAAGACAAAATCATAAAACCAAGTGGCAATGATACAATATGTACATCGTATATATTTATTGCTTAGGGAAATATATGGAGGTTTTTTTTTTTTTTTTTGGTCAAGGCCAAAGCCTCTGTTGTGGCTGCAGGCTACAGTGAGCGCACCATGCTTCTCTGTAACGCAGCAAAGCCATCACAGCTTTAACCATTTTCAGACAGTAAATCAAACAGTTTATATGTTTATATGATTTAAATCGGTATCATAATCGGATTTTTAGGACTGAGCCTGAAGAGAGGTTCTTGTGTTTGTTGAACATACGGCAAAACCAACATCTGTACAGTGATTACAGGAAATAAAGAAGAAGAATAGAGTCGGCCCGAAGTAAAAATAAAACTGAGGGATTGCTCTCATGCTATCGTAGTTAGATTTATTTATTATTCTTAAGGGTCATGAGTCAAGTAGAGCAGATTTTATGTCACTGACGAGGAGTAAATCTCACTGAATTGACCTTTTTTTTTTCTTTTTTGTTTTGTCCAGACACTGAAAGCAGTGGAGTGGCAGCGGCGTAAACACATATTTAACGAGATAAACGAGAGTACCGCTTTGCTCAAAAAGAGGCACGGCTGAATCCTGACCCCGCGCTTTTGTAGACTCTTCGCTGAGGTCCTCGCGATAAGCCTCTCGGTTCTACAGACTCTTGACCCTGGCTCATTGCAGCCACTCGAAGACAAGCATTGGCAACACAAAAGACGGCGTTCACACAGCGAGCGGGAAAAGCTCAGGGTCGCCCCGAATGTTATTCAAGGGACATTGTGAGACGTTGTGAGACTTTCCTCTGATACGGTGCTCATCTTTGGCCTCGTTTCCTTTTTTATAAACTGTGATTAGAGACGAGCTGCAGGTTGGTCGAGACACGTCACACCGGTGGGCTCCTAGCTAACACACCGAGCATCAGTTATTTAGTTCCACTGCGATTCCCCCATTATACAAAAAGCTAAGAATGAGATATAGATTATTATTAAATGGGTTACAAACTGGGGTTGTGGAGTAATGTGTGTTGATGAAAGACACAATCAAGCTGCATTATGGGTAGTGAAACATCCAGTGAGCCATACTAGGGACTCAGTAAGACTTCTATATCTCGGTCTCTGCTGCGACAAATTTTGACGTTTATTTATTTCTCACAAACCCTCCATCTTTACAGAGGTGCAATACTAAATGGTTTGAGGAGTATTTGGGTATTTTATTTTCAAATAAGACACACATTATTATCCACAGCCATAACGGTGAGTTCCTATCAACTTCTGCCACCAACAGATAACTTTAAATTTGCAATTTTATGTAATTTGTAAAAGGGAAATGCTGCTTTTTAGTGGTTTATTGTTGAATCTCTTGCAAAATTATGGCGAATTAGAAGAAGTGATTGATTCCTCTGCATTTCATTTTTTAAAGTGAAGTAGTTTTAGCTGAAATGTTATTGTCATTTCTTTACCACACTTTTGAAACCATTAAAAACTCTCCCCTGCATAATGACATAAATCTAAATAGCTTATTGTAATAAAAGCAGCCGTGTGATCTAAAGAGAGAAAAGTTCAGCTTATGGAAGAAAAGAAAAAAGCATAAATAACTAGTTTTTTTGATACCTGCATTTTACTGAATGTTAAGTACAGTATTTTTATATCTAAGTCCCGTCATAATAAGTAAATAAATACCCAAAAAGAGCTCCTCTTTGCGCCCCCCAGTCTGTATTTATATCAGATTAAAAGTGGAAGTCTTTGTTTAGATAGAGCTGATTTATGAATCATCATTTAGTAGCGAAATATTACATAAATGTGTAAATTTGGGTTCCAGTTTTATTGAGTAAAACATGTTGCCCCTCTGGTCCAGAAACACTTCACATCCTACTTTATGTGCAGCGAAGTTCCCACTTCATTATCAGCAACGTTTCCTGGGCGTCGAACAAAATTTATGAATAAATTTATAGTTGATCATTTGATGATTAAAAGTTTGAGGTAAGACAATAAATTCTTACGCTCTTATCCAATTAATAGATCTCCAACGTTGCAGACCTTAGTCACAAACATAGTGGGACACTTTTAATTTCTAATTCAATACGAAAATATTATAAAATTAGACTCAAAAGTGGATGAATACGACCGTTCCATGGAACTTGTAAGCTTTAATAAAAGACCTTCCCCGCTGATGGGAAAGCAGGGAATGATGGCTCTAAGTCTTTTGGCAGACGGGATCAGGTGGAAGTTTATCAAGCGATAAGACTTGAGAGTCAGGTTCAAGTGAGGAAGAAAATGGGGGATCACTGGTACATTCCAATAAGGCCGCTTTGCCCCGAGATACAGTGGAACAAATGGCTTTTTAAGTGGCTCACAGGCTCTTTTTTTTTTTTTCCACACACTGCTCCTCTTCTCTCACCAGAAATGGGAACACACTCATTGTCAGTCTTCTTTCTTCCCCTCACACAGACCTCTGTTCTCCACTGTTGTCACCTGTCACAGAAATCTTTTTTTTTGTTGTTGTTGTTATAATTTACATGTTTATTCTGGAGGAGAATAATGGCGGTATCATCATCCTGCACAGTAGAAAATCTCCCCCCTCCCCCCTTCCTTCCTTCCAGCTTCATCAGGGGCGGTCTGAAGGTACAGTGCCTTTTGAATTTGAGGCTTTTCATGACAGTGCGACTGCTAGGCCGTGGCACCGCGCTCATTATCTTGGCGGTGTGTTAATTGGATTGCCAGACACCTCCAGCTCAGGTCTGAAAATACCACGAAATGAAGTCATTTTTCGTGTTTCGAGAGAGAGAGTGGCATCCTCAGAAAATCCAAAGTGTCCTTTGGATTACTGTCCTCCAGATAAGCGCTAGTTTTGGCAGACAGGTGGGAGTCAGCTATTTTTAGACTGCTTAGTGGGTGCAGTTTCACGACATGGGGAAAAAAAAAGCTTATGAAGGAATTGCATTTAGAGTTTGTTCAGATGGCAGAAGAAGTCAGGATGAATAATCGCCACGGTAGAAGAAAAAAAAAATGCTGATAACTGGAAAGCATCGTGGGCATGATTTGACGTTATTGGAAGCGGTATTTAAGCTGAGAAAACATCCGAGTGTTTACCAAATATCCTCCTTTCCCTGCAGCCCCTGAAGGCCTCGCCGGCACATCTTTCCTCTGGTTCTCTTCCCCACTCAGTGAGTCAACAGTCGACAGCTGGGAGTGGAGCATGGGATCTCGTAGGGGGCTGAGGGTCTTATGTAACATTTGGTGTCAGGCTAGAATGCTATTAAGATGTCTTGTGGAGCTCTGCAGAGCAAACGACGCTGGCTGAGTTAGCGCCGCGCCGCGCCGCGCCGCGCCGCACCGCACCGCACCGCACCGCACCGCACCGCACCGCACCGCGCCGCACCGCGCCGGAGCGCGTCTGCAGCGGGAATACTTGAATTTTAAGACATGGCTCCGATGAAAACGCTCGAGTTTGATCTAATTACGTTTGGCCTTTTGTGTGTGAAGCACTCGAAGCATGTCGAATACAGACTTATGGAGGTTTGTCACACACTTGTTGCAGAGTAATTATTGTGTAGGTGTATGCACAGAACATTTGTGTTGAATTTAGGGCTTTAGAGTTAAAATTAGTTTTATAATAGTATTCCTACTATCGCAACATGAAGATGCCGGCATCATCTCATGCTGATTAAAGTAATTTAATGATGTACAGCGTTACCAGCGGTTTTCTGTTGTTGTTTATTATAAAACAAACCCTTCAGTGATTTCAGTAAATGTGAATGTGATTTTTTTTTTCTCTGAGAATCATCAAATAAAAAAAGCAGATCTTCGTAAAAAGGATAACAAATTATTATGATCATGTTATCACCATACGATTCCACTAAGAATTGATAATGATGATAATATTGAGTTTTTGGCTCAGTCGCACTTTGATATCAAGAATAAAACTGCGCCACATTCAATCAAATTCAAGAAACTTTATTTGTCCCCAGGGGGCAATTTAAAGGGCGTAGAGTAGATATTAAAACAGAAATTCAAAATACACAAAAAGGAATTCACAATCAGCGCAAGACAAACTGTAAATATTAAGAAAGATAAAAAGAAAAACAACATGAAAAAACATCAGTGCAAAAAAACAACAACAAAAACAAAAAAATAAGAAAATAAACCAATAAAATTTATAATATATTACATTGAGAATGACGATAACATGGGAGAATGACTTTATCAGTGCAAATAAATAAATAAGCAGCTCAAAGTGATGCACATTCATTTTAAAACAATGACAGACTTTGACAAAATAAAGGTCCACTTACTGACCTTCTCCAGAGCTTTTAACCACATACATGTGTATGACCACCTGTATTCATCATGTGTGACTGAGGTTCCACACTTCAATCGAGCAAACTCCAACCTGCAAATGAAGACCATGAGATGCAGTCGAAAGCTCTACACAATTCTATTAAGTGGATATTGAGTTAGAATTTTTGCTACAGTCAAATTAATGTTTCCGAACTGAACTCGTGTAATAATTTATTCTTTATTAACAATCGTATATTAATAAAAAGATGAATGCTGATGTATTAACGGTGTCATGAATATAAGATATGTAATTTCTGGTGAAAGCTGGTCGAGCAGACCTCAGATCAGTTGAGATGCATGAGGATAAAGTATCTATCTATCTATCTATCTATCTATCTATCTATCTATCTATCTATCTATCTATCTATCTATCTATCTATCATTAGGTTTACAGTAAAGCTGAAAACAGCAGGGTTGGAAATAAGTTAGAATAATATGGCAGGGCAGCTGTAGTAAGCAGAAAAATGCAGAGCCGACAAACAGTCTGCTCTCTCTCAAATATCAGCCTCTCATTTCATTTTCAGATGAAACATTTTCTCCTCGTCCTGGAAACGTGTAATACGAGAACACAACGTCTTGAAGTTCTCCGTTGTCAGACGAATCAGACGCAGAGTGTGATTCTACAGACTCTATTGATGCTTCTGTAATAATTTGGTTCGGTAGCAGTGTAACATTAGATGTCAGCAATGAGCTTTGTCAGTGTCTGTGACTGTGAATGTCTCCGTCATCTCTCTCTCTCTCTCTCTCTCTCTCTCTCTCTCTCTCTCTCAGGCACTCACAGAGGCTGGGCTGCTGTACAGATGCGCCTCCTGCATGAGCTGGTGTACGCCTCGCGTCGCATGGGCAACCCTGGTCTGTCCGTGCGCCACCTGTCCTTCCTGCTGCAGACCATGCTGGACTTCCTGTCCGATCAAGGTCAGAATAAACACAGGGAAACACACTCGCAAAGAGGCTTGAAAAGAAAAGTAGCCGCATCACACTTTCTTCCATCTTTTTTTTTTTTTTCATTATAGAACCTATAAAAACCCTGTGAGGTGCTTCCAGCTTCGTGCCCAGACATCAAAAAAAAAAAAAAACATCTAGAAACAGCCAACTTGTCCTTTGGTGATTTCGGCATTATACCTTGTGCTTAATAGTATACGACGCACAACAAAGCCAGCTTTTTCTTGGCGCGAGTGCAACATTGTGCTCTGGGCAGAAATCCTGTGCAGCCAGGAGATAGGGTTTTTACTCAGGCAGTGTGAGCCAGACGGTCCACTGGCCACACAATAGAGGCCAGTGTAATCCTTGTTGGCTACAGAGCATGAGAATGGAGGGAGGGAGGGAGGGAGGGAGGGAGGGAGAAGAGGTATGAACAACATGAAGCAAGCTTACTGTATAAAATATTAAACATCAGCAAAGGGACTTCTGCAGCTGTGTTTAAGGTGCTGATAGTAAAAGCCTTCTTAGGAACAGTCCTGCTGGAATAATATTACTATCTGCAGCCTCGCATACATCAAGGGGCTAGGGGGAAGAAAAAAACAGGACTGAATGATGTAACTACTACTGCCACCGTTGAGTATTTTCTCACTGGAGGAGCTGACCTTGTAAGCCAGTGTGTTGAGCAGCGCTTTTGCTACAATAAAATACCATTTCATATTTACTCTGTGTAACTTTCGGGGCTCAGAGCGCTGCCTGCAGCAGTTTGGGTGCCCTCCTTTGATTGCCTTTACTCCACTCTGCAGTGGGATATTAAAAATGTCAGAGAGGTTATTGTAGGTTTGCTCTAGTGGAATAAGTCCCTGTTGACGTGAGTCTGAGTGTGAATGTGTGTGTGTGTGTGTGTGTCAAGTGTAGACTAGAGTTGGGCAGGGAAAGACATTTCATATGGCTTTAGTACAGATAACAGCAGCCTCTGTTCTCAGAGGGATTCCTGTGCACATGTGGGAAGTCTGTTGTTAATGAAACATCAGTTGATGACTCAGGTGAACCAGCTGGAATCAGGCGCCGGCTCTCCGCACTCTCCCACGGGTGGGCTCTCTTGATCCGGCGACCTCCGGGTTGTTGTAGATGGCTCTCCTCCTCCTCCTCCTCCTCCTCCTCCTCCTCGTCCTCCTCCCGCCGCCTGTGATGGCGAGGACAGTGTCAGCCCTGCAGAGGGACTGTCCTGCGTCCTGCCTCCACAGGTCCTCTCGTGGCGCGGTCAGCACGATCCAGCGTGACAGTGTTCTTAGTTGTTTCTGATACTTGATGTTAGTTTCCGCCTCAGCTGGTCTTTGTGTGGAATTATTTTTCACCTCTTTAATCCGGCCGCTCTGATACTCTGAAGTCTTTGTCGTGCACGCTACTTAAAAGCTTATTTGAAAGGTGGTTTCCTGCGTAGATGACCAAGAACTCTGTGTTCTCCAGGAGAAATCTACCCGGTTTTTTTATGCCGGCGAGTTTTCAAGTTGTCCGTCTGTCCCATTCTCCTGAACGCGATATCTCAGTAACGCCTCGAGGCAAATCCTTCAAATCTGGCACAAACATTCACGCGGACTCGAGGATGATCTGATTCAGATTTTGGCGGTCAAAGGTCAAAGGTCAAGGTCACGGTGACTCAGTAACTCCTCAAGGGAATCCCTTCGAATTTTGACACAAATGTCCGTTTAGACTCGAGGATTGAACTGATGAGATGTTGGTGGTAAAAGATCAAGGTCACTGTGACCTCACAAGAAATGTTTTTGGCCATAACTATTGAATTCATATATTGATTATGATGCAATTAAACACAAAATCTGTCAAATTAATGCCGTAACTCACGAAGAGGAGATTGTGACTATATTTCCTGCAACCTGGCTGGTTGAGGGAAGGTAGTGTTGTTCTAGCTCAGGAGAAGTGTACAGCTCAAACCAACAATTATATTTTTCATTATCAATACACCTGACAGTTATTTTCTTTATTAAAAGATTGTTCAGTTTATAAAATGTCAGAAAATAGTGGAAAACAACATATTAACATATTTAAATTGATGTTTTTGTCTTTCCAACAGAGTTTATTATCATAGAAAACAGGGAAAATACATTCGAGAAGTGATGGTTGGTTTCCGGGGTCCGTGCCAATCACTGTATTTTCCACATGTAAATTATAAACAGCAGAAAAATGAGTGATGTCATGGAGCAACTTACTTTTTTCACTGATAATGAATATGTGTCTTTGATGACTCGGGCGGTTTTCAAATCATACTCCTGTAATTGTGTGCGGGAGTTTTTTAAATCTTGTTGGAGCTACTATAAAATACAGTTTAATTGAAAGGGAACTAAAAATAGACAGAGATTATTAGAAGAGCTCGAGATATTGTCTCTTTGATCATATCACATATTAGTGTTGGCTGCTTAAGTCGCGCTCATTTTTTTCATTTTTACATTTTTTTTTGCAAATATTGATTACACTGTCTGCAACTGTCGTGAGAATACACATTGTCTTTGAGGCTGGATGCCATCTGCCATTCTTTTCTTGTTTAATGTAATCACACCCTTCCCCAGGAGCCACATCTCTCAATCAGTTTGGGTCTTTTCGAAAAGGCCTCTCTCGGGCTGGTTTTGTCTTTTCAAGTCTTCGCCGGGATCATTAGAAACACACATAGCTTGAATGTTTTATGAGAGCCTTCACCTCTGCAGTGGAAGCAGCAGCAGCAGCAGCAGCTAGAATTGAAGATAACTCCCAACGGCTCTTCGTCTGGGTCGTGACAAGGTGACCAGGTAGGGGCTAATTATAGCGGATTCCTGCACTGCCTCAGTGAGTGGCATCGGGGAGGGACACTTGATAAAAGAGGAGAGGAAGAACAAAACACAACCAAAAACACTGAGCTGAAGAAGGCGGGAACAGCAGGGTGAATGGGGAGGAGGTCACGAGCGATCGCTTGTTTCAACTAGACATGACCGAGCCGTAGCTTTCTTCTTCTTTCACCCTCTCTCAGAGCAGAACCATGTACATTTTAAATAAATTATAATGTCCAACATATGGTGTAAAGGTAGATC